ATTAATGATATTCATTACTCAGTGGTGATAATCTAGGATGCGATTAGCTGCTCGTCACTCTTAGGAGTTAAGTTTTGACCTCTCCATTTGTTGGTAGTCTACCAGTCTTCACTGGTAGTTTTTGTGATCAGAAACTGTCACAATTTACATGTATGTTATCACTTAAGACTTAACAATAAAAGAATGCACTTCTAGTGTTAGTAACTTTGTATGGATTTATAGATATTGTGTCTATCTTTGTGTGCACCTACCCCTCTCCTAACCCAACAACAGTCAACTGGTAACAAGTTAGGGTTAATGCTGGGTTAAGGGAGGGGCAGGTGGGCAGCTGCTCAGATATTGACATTGATCCCATTACCTTGCTTTTCTTGTCATTGGTGAATCTGTCTTGATTTTCATTCCTTTCATAACAGGCATTGCACAAGATGCAACAGGCTATTGGGATGAGAAGTGGATACAATATTATTAATTAGCAAAACTCAGACTGTTCCACAAACCATACTAACATCTAAATTTAGGAAAAGACAGAAGTTATATGTCTTTATAACACCATTTCTTATCATTATTGCTCTTACATAAAAAATATATTTCCACTCCAGGGCGTGAAATTGCACCTAACACAGGCGCCAATGCGACTAAATTTTTCACTTTGGTGACCAAATCCTGAAAGTTAGTCGCCAAATTGGCGACTAGAATGTTTCATCATAACCTTACCAAGAGATATAGTGGATTAAAAAAATTTGCAACGATAAATCCGCGGCAAACTTCCTCGTTAAGTTTGTTTCCAAAACGTAGCACATGCATCTCAATCGATAACTAGACGCCATCTTGGATTTAGATAAGCCTGAACGTTGTATATCATCCATCCTAGTGTCCTTTTCCCTAACTTAATTTTGGAGGGTCTATCTAGAACGCTGACAGCGTAAAGAAAGATTTTGTTTGTCTTTAAAAATGGCGAACAACTTTTTTTGAATTGGCTACCACTTTCAAGAATTTAGGAGCCAAGTGGCTATCAGAAAAAAAAGTTAATTTCTCACCCTGTGATTAAGGATTTAAAATGAAAAGAGAGTTTATTAAGTTCACAAATCCTTATGGGAAGGTTTGCTCAGTGGAAAAATATTTTTAGAACATTTTGATACATGTCCAACAAACACAAAAGCAGTAATCTGTCCTAAAATGTTAAAAAAAAAACTTGTGGTTTGCAAAAACTAAGAGCTGAAATGACTAACCTTTATGGACCTCTCCACCTCCACAAGGCACATTCGACAATTCCCAGCCACAGAGAGTCTATCATGGTAGCAGAATCTTGGAATTTCTACCCCAGCCATTGCACAGGCCTACATACATGAAATACATGTGTATACTGCAGCTAATCAAAACTATAACAAAATTCTCAAATATTATTGGTTACCATCAGCCCAAATTGAGCACTAATTGGACAGTATATACGTCATGCTAGTAATTAGACAGTGTAAAAGGACAGTTATCGGGACAGTTAAAATGTCATGCCTGTGTAAGTGGACAGAATGTGTCATGTGCATGTACTGTTGCCTTGCATTTTGCTGAGCTAACTGTTGTTAATGAAAACATATGACCAATGTTTTGTTTCTTTCTCAAATTTTGTCATAGTTTTGAGTAATTGGTGACAGGACTTCATGTCATCCAACTCTGTCTGTAATTATACTTGTAATTAACAAATCAGACTCCTGCTTTGCTGTTGTCCAATTTTGCTAATCACTTGAAGGATTACAGACCAAATTGGACTCCACTGCTTCCTATTACCATTATCAAAATTTTGTCACCAGCTGAGATATACAACCTGTAAACATTTAAACTGCTAAGCAACTGTACAAATTAATGAAATTGGAACTGAAATTGTTATTCCACAAGGATAACTATGGTTATCTCACCTGCAAGACAGTTACTCCAGGATCCACTAACAAGCTTTTGTCATTAACAAACACCTCGATTTTTTCAGGAGCTGCAGCTGTGGCATAATGCTGAGCTGAAACATCAAAAGTGCAAACCAAAAATTATTTTGCAAGCCTGTTGTGTCAATTAATTTGAAATAAGAAACAATCTGAAGAAGGGAGGAATTTTTGCTGGAAATCACAGTGAACACAATTGCTTGTGATAAAGATGCAAATTAATTATTGAACAGACATAATTCACAATACATAATGTAAATCACTACAATCTTTTCCAAAATATCAACTTTAACATATATCACATAATACTCTAAAGACCGTATATTCAACTTAAGGGGATCTAGTATCTTGTAAATGGTAAATTTCTACTGTGAGTACAGCAATAACCTCTTCCTCCCAATCCTAGGAAATAAGAACTTCTGTTAAGTCAAAGATGTTGAAAAAAATCCTTCAAGAAAAGCGAAAAATTTAACCCAATTTAATTCCTGCAACAATGTGGTACAAACCACTACACTACTTCACTCTTTCACTATTTTTTCAAACAAGTAAGTAAACGTTACCCAGCATGCTATGTACTGTAAGAAAGCTGCAATACATGGCAGGCTGGATGTTGAAGTCTATTATACCAAAGATCTTAACCATTGGTTTAAAAATTCTTGAAACAAACAAACAAAAAAAAGAACCGGTTTACTTGCGGCGTAGTATTTACGAGGAATGCACAACGATATTATGTAACATCATGGAGTGACTTCAATACAGATTTCCAGAAATAACTCACCCGCAACTTGCAAGGAAGGTGTCAATCCTTGCAGTGGCTTAATTCTGGCCGCCTTTGACAAAGTAAGCCTCCACATTCTGCAGAATCTACAGAATATAAACAGAAACTGATGCATAACCAATCAAATATAGCTGTAAATTTTCTGCGGATGAACATACTCAATCTGTACGCGAAAATAAGGCTATCTAGCCCATAACCATATCAAAACTTGCGACAAGACTAACTCGTCATCCTTGATATAATAAAACTTAGAAGCAAAAATATGTTTTACCCAGGAGATCGATTTGCAATATGTGTTATAACCCACTGGAAATCAACAACAACACACTCAGGATTTTCAAAGATGGCGACCTTTGCGATTCATACGGGTATTGAGATCAGACAAGTACCTACGGCTCTTGTTGTCAGCGGCACCCGCATAAAATTGGTTATGATGTCGTGTCAAATGAGATCTCGTGTGCTAAAGCCTCCGCCATCTTGAAAGTTGAAGATGCTGACCTGGTGAGATACATATCTGTAGTTTTATGATGATTATTAAATCTTGTCGCCGTTAGAGTAAAGATTAATCTAACTTTCAAATTTTTTCATCACTTCGATTTCTTCTTTTGTAAATACAGCTGTAATTTTTTTTTTCAGACTTGTGATTCCTCCATCTCCGATCGCTAGTTTTGTTTTCATAAAATATGGCATGGAATGAGCTTCTTACCGTAGCAAAACTGAGTACATCGGTCTTTCGCCATACCACAACGAACTCAATGCGTAATGTTTCACCCCTCTCGAGTTTGCTTCTCCGTGCCTTTTCAACAAGCATGATAGCGGAAGGCAAGACTCAGTATTATTTCATCAGGGTACCTCGAAGTATGCCAAACATTCCCGTGCCAGCTTATCTCAAGGACGGGAGTGTGAAACGTAACCATAAGAAGTCAGGACGAGACCCTGAAACTGGGCGTATCGCCATACGACATAAGGGAGGAGGGCATCCACAGACATTCCGTATCGTGGACTTTGTAAGAGCTCCTGTGCCACAAGAAAATGAAGAACCTAAGCCGATTCGAGACAAAGTCCTCCATATAGGCTACGACCCTTGTCGCTCTGGTCGTATTGCACTGGTGGCAGGAGATGGAAGCAATAGAATGAAAATCATCACTGCACCACATGAGATGAAAGTTGGAGATGTTATCACAGCTTTCCGAGGGAAGCCGCAATCTATCGCCAGACTGAAACCTGGGGATGCCTACCCACTTGCTCATCTTCCTATTGGCACAGTAGTGTACAATGTCGAGCTTCAGCCCGGAAAAGGTGCCCAGCTTGTACGCGCTGCTGGTACATGTGCTCAGATTCTCAATAAAACTGAGACTACAGCAAGGTTGCGACTACCTTCAAAACAGGAGAAGGACATTCCTCTTGATTGCTTGGCCACTTTAGGGAGAGTTTCCAATATTGACCATGAAAATCGAGTCATTGGTAAAGCAGGTAGAAATCGATGGCTCAATAGGAAACCAAAAGGCCAGACTGGTATAAATCGTACTCTTTGGAGGAAGAAAAGGGTATAACTGGTTTGAGTTAATTCTTATCTTTTTTATCCAAGAAAATCAAATAAACAAGAACAATGGAAAAAGCACTCTTAAGCTCTTATTTGTGTGATGTTACTTACTTTCTCTGTCATCAAGAGAGTTTGATTATAATTTATTACTTTGTTTTGTGGTTTTGTTAAGAAGGATAATTACTTTTGATTTTTTCTGTCTGAGCTCCATTTTTTCAACAATTAAAGTACTTAGATTAAATGCCACAAAATTTTAGTTGTGACCTATGCCTTTATAAAAGAAACAGAAAGCAGGTTTGGCATAATCCAGGATTGGAGCTAATCACCTCTTGAACAATCACACCCTGTTTAGGTGGCAGAAGTGTTCAGTTACTTCTGACCAGGATTTCCTTGTGTGCAGGGTAAACATTTCTTTGTCTCTGGCAGAAAAAAAGATTCAACATAACTGTGTAGAGGTTACTTTGGGATAGAATTTAAGAACATTTGAATACCCATCCACACCCCTCCACCAACACATCTGTTCTGTCTATTTGGTAGCCATGAATTGAGGCTCCCCCTTTTTCTTGGGGGGAGAGGGTGAAGGTGGGGTTATTGTGCTGTGAAGTCTCAAAAGTTTGCCAAAGATGTTTTAACTTGTCCATCTAAGACAAAATGTTTTCCTCCAAGAGTCTCACTTCCCTCTGATGATGAATGGTTTCTTACAAACCTCGTTCCAGGATCTGTCTTCATCCCCCAGACCCAACATTACTTTCCCCAGTCCATTCGTTTCCTCGGCCAAGATGGCGGTTTGTCTTCTCCGATGAGACTGAAATCTATTCGTCACTTTGTCCCTCTGTTCCGGACTTCTTTACTTTGGGCATGCCGAACGTCAACCAACACCATGGCAACTTTAGAGACCTTGAACTTTGACAACCTAGCTCTTCATTCCCTGCCGATCGACAAGGAAACACAAAATGTTATAAGACAGGTCAAAGATGCATGCTTCACTCTTGTGAAACCGACAAAAGTAAACAATCCAACCCTCGTAGCTTACTCACAGGAGGCTTTGTCCCTCCTTGATCTACCGCCATCTGAGGTGACAAGGCCAGACTTTGTGCAGTATATGAGTGGAGACAAAATCCTTCCCGGAAGTCAGACTGCAGCTCACTGTTATTGCGGACATCAGCAGGGGTATTTCTCCGGTCAGCTTGGAGATGGAGCTGCGATGTAAGTGGCAGGGACATGATTTTCTCTCGTCATATGGTAGACCAATCTCTCGTTTTTTGGATGCTCGTTTTTCGTCGGTGAAGTCAACTTTTTACCGGGTAACCACATAACCCTTTAACCGACTTGAGAGTGACTGGCCTCTTATTTCTCCTTACCCGGGTAGCATCACCCATGACTCAGATGCAAAGGTAATGAGGATTTGGAGATAATCACCAATTTAGGAAGCTCCTGACTGTCAAACAAATTCTCCTTTTTCCATTACCGCAGGAAATTTACAGAGATTAGTGTGGATAACATGAATACTAATGTTAGGGTGTACAGAATTAAAAAAAATATGTGACAAGTGGACCTTGAGAGGGAGTCCTTTGCATTCTAAGACCTCTCCTTCTTCTTCCTAGCTTGTGCAATCCTCTCTTCTCTCTCTTTCTATCCCCAGCATGTGAATGGCTAACATGATCGAAAAACATTCAAAACAGAAAACATTCCCCATGATTTGTTTGTATCAAACCAAGCTCAATTTATATTCACATGTACGCCATTGATGGTTGAAGATGGGTCTTTTAGTTACAATTGACACATGTATAACATAAATGATTGAAGATGGGTCTTTAAGTTACAACTTATTTTTTTTTCCTATCCTCTTTGGAACAGGTATCTGGGTGAAATAATTAATTCCAATGGGGAAAGATGGGAAATTCAGCTGAAGGGATCAGGTCTTACACCCTTCTCTAATCACAGAGATGGCCGCAAAGCCTTGAGATCATCCATTCGAGAATTCCTGTGCAGTGAGGTACAATGATTTTAATCCTATCAGATACCCTTTTAATTACAGGCTCACAATTTAACTACAGGCTAATGTACGAAATGTAGATTATCTTAATAAATTTCCATCATCATTACCCCTTACTGTTATAGTTACCATTACTGTTACCACAGTGACTGTCACTATGGTTACCACTGACTTTGTCAGTTTTGCTGTCATTGTCATCATCATTATCATTCATCTTTTACTATTTCTAAGGTTATTGATATTATGTTGTTGTGAAATTAATTAAATAAAATTATCATTATTGTAAATTATTTCAGGCTATGTATCACCTAGGAATACCAACCACAAGAGGTAAGAGTTTGTACACTGTTGCTTTCTGGACTGCAATAGCAATTCAATCAAGGTGAGGCTATTGAACCAAAGACGTGAGAAAATGAAATAACATTGAAAGGACATGATTACCAACCAAATAAGGTCTTGATTGTGAAACAAATTCTCCCTGTCAGCACCCTAGGAAATGTATAGAACAGTATGGAGAATATGCATACCGATGTTTGGGTTTTAAGGGTTGATACCTTAAAAAATGATCCTTACATTATTAGAGTGTGTTGGTTGCACCCCCTTGGATAAAACTGGCCATTTTTTGTTTTTAAATATATGTGATCAGATAATAATTTGCCAAACATCTCAGATTCAATTTTCTTAGATGGAAAAAAAATCTTGTTGTGTAAGAGATAAGTGAATGAGTTAGCTTTTGTGGTTATCATTGTAAAATCAAATGTTTTATTCAAGTTGCATTGTTCATTTGTCTGTTTGTTTTTTTTTTTTTCAGCTGGCTGTTGTATAACCTCAGATACATTAGTAGAAAGAGATAAAGATTACACTGGGAATATTTCAAAAGAAAAGGCTTCTCTAGTATTGAGGATTGCTCCAACCTTTCTGAGGTACAAAAGCCTTAACTGCCATATTGATTAAACACAATTGTCCATTGAAGTCTGCCCTTGGAGGAATGTGTATTGCACAGGTCGTCTTAAGTGCTAACTATGTTGTGAGTTGTAGCGACATGCTGCACATCCATAACAGTTTGATGGTATAATATGCATGGATATTTTGCGAGTTGGGTTAAGTATGAGGATGGCCATTCATATTATATGTTAAAACATTAAATGAGAGATTTATCATAATGATTCCACCATCAGCTCATTTTATAGCATTTTGGTGTTGAGTTTTCAAAATAATTCCTGTAGCTTTGAATGAGCATCAGATCAGTCACATAAGGTGTGGGAAGGGCCCTCACTTAGTGTAGAAGACACTGAGTTTGATATATGACAATAGAGTCCACAAAAAGACAAAAGAATGAAAGCAATGAAAATAATATTCTATTAAGGAGGTGTTCTATTGTGATGTGTCCTGTGTCCTCTACATGGAAAAGGAGCTAGGAAAAGAAAAAAAAAACAAGCAAAACCATTGAATGTGCAAAAAAGTTTGTTACTTAAAAAGACGAGCCTAAAAAATGCAGAAAAAAAACCAAAGTTTGGATTGTTCAGTGATGCCATTTACTTTCTACCTTTCAGTTGGTATTTTTGCCCTGTACTGCCAAGTTATATGGTGGTATATTTTTTCTGTTCCAATGCCCCAATATAGTAAAATGGTAACAGTAGAATGATAAAGTGTAATAATACAGTGCAGAAAATTGTAAAGGGAAGGTAGTTAGTGATATTGAACCACAATACAATGCAATTCAACTAGTCATTGTGTACATATCATATGTGCTCACTATGCTTGTTTTAATGGCAGATGTGAGTCCCCTTACCTTTGAGCTGCATTGTATAATTATATAAATATATTTCAAACAATTTTGTATATCACATATTACTAACGTTGAATTCATAGATTTGTAACAAATCACAAGTTTATTTAATAATTGTTATTATTTTATTTAAGTGAAATTGAATTCTCATCCAAACTCTCTTAGGTTTGGCTCTTTTGAAATTTTCAAACCACCTGATCCAGTGACTGGTTATCAAGGTCCTAGTGCTGGTAGAGTGGACATTCTGCATCAGTTGCTAAGCTACACCATTAAAACCTTCTTCCCCCAAGTATGTCAGTTAAGTTCAAATTTTATGTTGAATTAATTCTACTGACTGCTCTTTGAGTACTGGTACTTCTAAATCACAACCACACTTGGTACTCAAAGCAACTCTGCCCCTCACTGATTGACCTCTGCAATTAACCCTATAACTCCCATAAGTTACAAACATCAGTCGAATTTATCCTCGCAATATCAATACAATATCAAGCAGACAAGTGATGAAAATAGAGAAAAATATCCATTCAGGGAATCATTAGTTGATCCAAAACCCAATTCTCTACACTAATATCAAAGGAATTGTATGGCAGATAGTAAGGAGAATTATTAATGACATCTTGGGAGGGAAAGGGTAAATATCATTATGGCATGCAGTAAATTAATGTTTTTGGATATGGAGTGACAGTTCATCCTTCACTGAATTTGTTGATGCCTTTTGACAAGGGTGTTGAAACACAAGGAATTAAAACCAAAAACACCTGAATTATCAGACTACAAATTCACATATACATTTTCTGAGTTGCAAAGTAAATAAAGAGTTTATTTTTTCTTATGTTATTGTAATTAATTTCTTTTAAATCTATTTTATTTTTCTTTTATAAATTTAGCAGCCATACTTTGTTGTTGTTTTTTTCAATCAGATCTCTGCAGGAGACTTTCAGAGTCCTGAAGAATGGTATCTTGCCTTTTTCCAAGAGTTGACTTTGTTAACTGCTCGCCTTGTTGCCAGTTGGCAGTGTGTTGGATTTTGTCATGGGTGAGACAGGCAGTTGATAAGAGAATAGCCTTTCTTGTTAGTATCTTTTTTCTTCCTTCAAACTACAGAAGGGGAGAGATAGAGTAGGGCTTTTGTCAGCAAAGGGGGAGAGTAGATGTATTAAGGCTTTTATCAAGAATGGGGAAGGGTAGAGTTAGGGCTTTTGTCAGCAAAGGGGGGAGAGTAGATGTAAGGCTACATTCTATGTGGGCTGCAAAAACTACTGCTTCTATTCAAATAATTTTTTGCAGAGTGTTAAATACAGACAACATGAGCATTGTTGGTGTCACCATTGATTACGGGCCTTTTGGATTTCTGGATTATTATGATCCAAATTATATGAGTCAAGCATCTGGTAAGTGGTAAAGACCATTTTGTGTCACACAGTGTAAGATGATTGGCATGATACAGTTGTATGCCCTTCATTAGAGGGTACTTGTGCATAATTAGCTAATAAACTGTGAGAGGGAGGAGAACTCCTGATGTCAAAAATTGATGGGTCATTAACAAGAGGAGAGTATCTTTATTTTCTATTAATAATCTTAATCCAGTGACAATAGTGTATGGTAGCAGGGTGGGGCAGGGATGAAGCACTTGCTTCAAAACTATGTTGCAGGAGGTTGAGTCTCAAACCTTGCATCGCATATTGGTTGACATTTGACTTTTTGATAAATGTTGCCATTTCTCAAAGGGTTTTCTCTTTGGTATTTGGGATTCTGCCCTTCTGCTAAAACCTGTCTCCATTTACTTTTTGTTTGTGGTTTACAAATTTTTCATCAACATAAACAAACATTCTGAAGTCCAATTCATCCTGGGAAAAAGGGACACAGAACACAGAACCCCCCCTTCATGGATATACTCAATTGACTGTTAAAATCTGACTTGTCTAGATGACAATTATTTATCCTCATAGTCTAACATGGAAATGTATTTGTTTTTGTTTACTTATGACTTTACAGTGTACATATGTTATTGCACAAACAGATGCTAGGAGAAGAAACTCTTTCAAGAATCAGCCTGAACTGTGCAAATGGAATTTGCTCACATTAGCAGAGGCCATTCAAGATGTCTTACCACTATACAAATCTAGGACTCTGTTAGAAGATTTGTAAGTGTTCTCATGATCAGGTGTTCTTGGAAAAACTATCCAGGAGTTTTTGGTTTGTCTTGAAACCTTTGTCTCATTTCAGTCCAAAATAAGAGGATTTCTTTGCTTCACCTATTTTTCAAACTAAAATAACTTTGACTTAGTGCAATCATCTCAGATACATATGTGAAGTGCGAAGGCTTTGTAGTTGATTTTTATTTGGAAAGAACTCACTATGGTCAGGGCAAACCTGTGGGAGTTGACCTTGCAATGTGGTGAAACCTCCAGCCACTGGAGGGAGGGTTTAGAACTTGGCAAAAACTCTGATGAGCTGTTTGCAAGTTTGGTTTGTGAGATATTCTCATTTTATGATAATTTGTTCAGAAGATTTATTTTTCCTTTTTTTTTTCTCAGATTTGATTCAGAATTTCAAAGATGTTACATGGCTAAAATGAGGTTGAAGGTGAGTCTTTACCAGTGATAAATTACAACAGAAATCTATGAATGAATGGCAGCCTCCTTTTGTTATAAGTAATCATAATAATTATGCTTTTTGAATGTTTCAGCTTGGATTATTAAAGAAAGAACTGCCTACAGATGAGTGAGTTAAACTTGTCACTACAACAAGAATTAATTTGTAGCTCTCCTTCCCCTCCCTCTGCTCGTAAGTACATACCCCGCCGGTTACAAGCCTACCCATTTGTCAATACCGTCAAATCGGATATTCCTGTTATTCTTTATTCCCTTTGACAAACCTCACCCCACCCCTGATGTAACTTATTGCCTCAACAAAATTACTTTCACTGACCAGTTAGAGCAATTAGGGAACGGAACCATGGTTTTTTGTTTGTTTGTTGGTTTGTTTTTTTTTTTTGCTTTTTCTTCCTGTCTTGTCAAATCCTGTAGGTTGAAAATAGAGGGTGTTAATTAATTACTTTTTTATCGTAGAACTGGCTCCAGTTTTAGTTCGGAGTTCTGAGTTGTAATTTTCAGTTGTTGTCGAACTTTTACACACAATGCACTTGACTACACCTCTTACTCCTCTTTCTGTCCGCCACGTTTCATATCTTACTGTGACTGACACGTCCTATGCGATTATTTTGGTAGGAAGCTGATAACAGCCCTGTTTGACACCATGGAGAAAACTGGAGCTGATTTCACCAACACCTTTAGATGTCTCAGTGATATAACACCAACGGGGTGCTCATCATCTAAAAGGTTTGTTCTGTAACTAGTCTCTCCATCCATACTGCTATGTTCAGGCGCCTTTGTTAATACTGCAAGAAATAATTTTTCCGTAAGTACAAGAGAGCTATTTCAAACAACCGCTAGAACCTACGAGAATTTTTGGCAATGGGGAAATTTACTGAAGGAAGATGTCCAAGTTTGATAAGTTACTTTATCATGGATCTCATGATGTAAGACTTACTGACTGAGTTTGGTCGGGTCGGATTGGAAAATATTTGGCTCTCGGTCATTACGCAAGGTCATCGCTGAGCATAATCTATACGTTATGATCTCAAATATTTCCCCGTGCGGTCCTCCCATTCATTGAATAAGTACCGAGTAACTCTTGATGGCAGTGGTAGATTCGTACTCAATCGCTTCAAAGAAGTCTTTTAGGAGAGCGCGGATGAACAAGGCGCGATGAATCTTGATTTTCCTTTTGATTGGTGATGGTGACTTAACCCTTTACACGCTACTATCAGTATGCATATTCTCCATACTGTTATTTATACATTTCCTGTGGTGCTGATAAGGAGAATTTGTTTAACAATCAAGAGCTTCTCTAGTTGGTGATCATTTCCGTTATTCTCGTGAGCTTAATGTTTGATTCAGAGGTGATATTGTAAGGAGAAATTAGATGCTGGTCACTCTTGGGGGTCAAAGGGTTGAGTTTGATCTATCAAATCGCAGAGCTTTACAGAGCTAAACTGAAAGCAAGTTCGAATTGCATTCGGCAATTGCTGCAGAGCATTACCCTAGCGTCCTTAACTGATGCAAAGTTTAGATCATGTCGCCCTTTGAAACCCTCGGAAAAGTGGCGTGGACTTTGATAACAGATCACAGCTTCAATTCAAATCAAGTGACGGGTTCCTTAAAAATTGTTTTTTTATTCACGTGATTGTTGGTACTAATTTAAAGCTAATTCAGTTTTGGATCATACTACGGTTTTCTATCGTTCAAAGCTGACTTTGTGCACTGTAGCTGAGTAATCACCTCGTATGTTTTCTGTTCTTAGCGATGAAGACATCGTTGAATACCTTGTGTCTCAATGTGTTCCTCTGCAAGGATTAATCAAAGCGTACTCGACGATTCTTGAATGGAGGTTAGTTCGAAAATAGCCAGCGATTAGACCTTCTTTTCTTAGGTCGAAAAGTGTTGTAGCACCAGGTTTCTGGCGTTTATCTGCGTGAGGTTATCGGTAAACTCCTTTGGGCCTAGCCGTTTATTACAGGTGGAGCTTACCTCATATTCGTAAGAATGAGAACAGGGTCATTCTTACTACACCTTCATGGATGCCAGTCCATTGGACATAACCTCCAGCATTTCGTGAGAATTCTATTATAGTTCATCGGCCTACCGTTATCTAATTAGAAACCTTTAGTTATTTCACCTCAACAAATGAAATGTGAACCTCTATCCCATAATTCACTGCGCGCCTCCCACTCGTTCCCATGCCTTTCAAAACGAGCTCGCGTTGTGGTAATTCACGCTAATTGAATTAAAGAATTATCAAAACCTTCGCAGTAAAGAAGTTAGTGGTCGGCTCTTAGATAGACCGTTCAATTGTTTTCCTCTTGTTTGTGTTTCTAGTCAGATGATAGCGATGTGCAAAGAGGTTTGGAAGTCAAGTCCAAATGTAATTTCTCATATTGAAAAGGAAGCTGATAAACATCTTCTGGAGGACAAAAGGCGCTGGGAAAAAATTGAGCAGCTTAAGGTGATTGAATCTTCTTATTAAAGGGCAGATGGATCGAGTAAAGACCTCTTATTAACCGAGTTCGAGGTCTGTACTGTAAGTTACGGACTGAGCCAATTTTCCTCTCGGATTTATGAGAGTAAATAAATGGGTTTTTAGTGATGGTGAGATGGTAATCGTAACGTTTGAAAACTACCCACAAGACATACCCTTAAGACGTTTTCAACATGAAAAATTATTTACACTTCTTATTTTAAACAACCTTACCGCTCTTAGACGTAATTTGTTACTATGTACTTATTGACTGAGTAGGAAGGCCGGACGGGAAAATATTTAGCTCGAAGTCATAACGTACAGACCGAGCGCAGCCAGGTGCGTGTGTCATGACCAGGAGCCAAATACTTTCTCGTTCGGCCCCCTTACTCAGTCAACGAGCATTTTGTCATACGACCACTTACTGTTGAAAATTTCGAAAATTTTGTTTCAACCTAAATAGGATGCGATAGAAAAAAGGATTCTACATTCAAAACTTTTCCTTCGCCACTTTCGAGTGAGAACCGGAAACTACTATTCATCGGAAAACGCGACTTTTTTTACTCTTTTCTTTTATCCCTTTAAGTTTTTGAAGCAGAACCGTGTGAATGCAGAGCTGAACGGCTTTCTTCGGGCTGGCTCACGTCAACCCGTCCGGCCCTACACACGTCAGCTCTCATTGTGGTTTTCTATGGGATTGCGCGAGCGGGGTCTCACGGGTCATATGATAATATAAATGATTACTTGTGCGATTTATTAATTCATTGATGAATAAAGAGGAAACTGTGGTGCTGCGCCGGGGGGGGGGGGGGGTGGGTGGCAGGGATATAGCAAGATAATCTGGTTTTATCGACTGAGTTGATGTTGTGAACTGGCCACCGCAGAGTTTCTAAACGCTGACGTTTCGAGCGCTAGTCCTTCGTCAGAACGACCAATGAAGGGCTAACGCTCCGAAGGTCAGCATAGGAACTCTTTATGGTGACTGATTTAAATTATCGACTTTGTTGATAAAACCTAATTGATTTATATATGGTTTGATTAATTAATTGATTGATCGACCGACCGTCGACTCAGGTGTCAACGCAAAACGGAAAAGAGAATAACGACCGTGTTTTATGGACGCAGTGGATCACAGCTTACAAGTGAGTGGGAATCATTGATTGCATGTAAGAAACCACAAGGGTGATCGTAAATGAAGGACAAAATTAATGGACACATGACGTTCACGTAGCTGCTCTTAAGGAAGTAATAAGAAATGAGGTTTAAATGTACCGAAGTTCGCTGCAATACCTTCCTCCCTATTGAATATTGTATAATCACAGACAACAAACTTTAACGTCGTTCAAGGGGAGAAGGGGTTAATTTGTATTTGGCGTATAATTGGTATGCTATTACATTAGAGTTGACAAGTGAATTCTTGTCTTCATTTATTATTCCTTCTTCCTTTTGTTTTTATTTTCTTTCATTTACCAAGAGATCGTCTTGATCAGGAATGCGACCATCATGATGTTCAAGAGGTAAACACAACACTTCCATTCACTTGAAAATAACTCTCTGAAGAACTCATCTTTCCTTTTAATTTTTTCATTGATTTAATTTTTTTCTGTCGCACACAGGTAAACAAAGAACGAGTCAGGGTAATGAAATCCAACAACCCAAGGTACTTGTCTGTGTTCTTCTTGAAGAATGAAATGTTGACCTTAAGCCCCGAATCTATTATCTCTCCTATGAGAATCATCACGTGACAAGAGATCAAAATTGACAAATACACTGGCGAAAATGACTTCACTGTAACCAACACCTTGTTTTTTGTTTTTGTTTTTGTTTTTTTTTGTAATTACCGAGGCATAAAGTGAAGTGTGCCTGCGAGACTGTCTTGTATTGCTGTCGGAGCTTATTCCTGTTTCTTTGGTAAGAAATCCCCTGCCAATCTGGGTTACTCTCCCTCTCCCCCCTCCTCTACTTTCCGTCCCCCCCCCCGCTTTCCATCCCCTCACCCCTCCTCTACTTTCCGTCCCCTCCCCCCTCCTCTACTTTCCGTTACGTTTCCCGGACAACTTACGTTCCAGAGATAGTCACCACGTGAACTGTATGTCCAGCTTAAGACCACATTACATTGACACGGCCAGCACTTGAGCCCTGACTCCTTGAATTTCATCGCCCTGAGCATAAAGCTACCGGTTCCTCCACATCGTTTGGAATTTATCCGCTAAAACAAAAGGAATTCTGAGACTGACGAGTTTAACCTCTGTTCATCTCTCTAACTTTTAACTTTATCTTTATGCAATTGTTTTCTTCACAGGTTTGTTCTTAGAAATTACATCGCCCAAAGAGCTATAGAGGCCGCAGAAAATGGAGACTTCTCTTTGGTAAGAGCAGTGAAACCAGTAGAGCCCGTCAAACATGTTTCATTTTGAAAACCGTTGCATACTTATTTGCAGGCTTATTTGCAGGTTTATTTCCAGTCAGCACGATCGATAGAGACTATGACCAATAGGGAAATAGGAGGTGATTTGTTTTTATTCCTTTCCTTACTTTGGCGGGCAAAGAAAACATACATGAGTCAAGGTCGCTGGTCAACCCTTTAACTGCCAGATCAAATTTGTAATTCTCCTTACTGTCAACCATATAACTCTTACAATGTTAGATCAGGGAATTTAGTATTGGATCAACTAGTTATTCCCATATTGATATTTTCTTTATTCTCATCACTTATCTGGTTGACATTGTATTGACAATGTAAGGAAAAATTCTGTCTTGGTCACTCATGTGAGTTAAAGGGTTAAAGGAAACTCGTCGGCGCAAAGTTTTCCCGAGCCTCTGTGCAAAATTATTTAAGACGTTTCCTTTTTAGTTAATTTGGTTTTATCAACTGAGTTGATAATGTAAAGAGTTTCCCAAGATGACGGTTCGAGTGTTAGTCCTTCGTCAGAGCGAATGGGTCATACACACCAACGAACATTTCTTCGGTTCCTGACATTTTTCTTTGTCGTATTTCAACACGGAAACTCCTTTCTATATATGGAAAGGGGTTCCTTTAGGGCTATTTTCCCATCAACAATGCAAAGGAAATCTTGCGAAGACAATACTTGCAATCACTGACTCCTGTTCTTTTGCAGGTTCAAACTATTCTGAAAAGCTTGAAAATACCTTACAGAGACGATGCAGAATTTGACGAAGCTACGCTTTACGAAGCAGCAAGTACTAATCCAACCTTGTCTTGTAATAACGAGAAAACAGGGCTGTTTAACGTTCTGGATACAAGGAAAACTAACCTCGACAAATTGCCTGATGATGCGTTTAATATGCGGCTTTCGTGATCTTCATAAGTCTTTCGCGTAATCCTGGTAGGTCCTCGTGGCGGAGTAGATCCATCGTCCCTCCTCAGTTAAAGCGAAGAATTAGGGTTAACGACATGCAGGATTGAAAGGGATTGTCGCCGATTGCAGTTGGCAAAAAGTCAAACGATAGTGTGGCTTGTTTTCAGGCTCTTGGTTAGCCTTGTACCTAGGCTCAACCTCTTTGCCACTCGTTCGTTCAAACAGCGTATCAAAATTGACGTCACCACACGCAGCTCTCAACTAGTGACTAGGCTTTCACAAAGACTTCTTGCATGACAATATTGCCTAATCAAAACAATTCCAATCAATCTTTCGTTTACATCAACAAATATGTCCGCTAGAATGCTCTACGCCGATGAAGCGTTTGGAGACCAGAGAAGCTATCAGCTTAGCACGACAGAACCGACGTGGGAGCCGCTTTTATCGCGAGGACTCAAGGACAACCACCTCAAGCATTATGTTACTAGTTGTACACAAATCTTCAATTTCACCCAACCCCTCCCCCTTGCGATTGTTTTCGTTTTATCCCCTGATCGTGTTCGCTTTTATCCCTCGAGCCCTGGACGATGATCAGATCTGTGATCATCTGTGAACAGACTAGGATGGTTTATCTCGATGGATGTGCCTCTTCCAGTTGTTGACGGTATTAACAAAAACCAATAATTGGCAGTTTGTACCCGATGTGAATTAGATCTGGAATGGAACAACAGAATAACATTTTTTAAAGCGTTGTGGTTTGTGTCTCAGTCAGTTTGTTCACCAACGTTCCGTTGCGTGAGCGAGATATTAGATGTGTAATACTAAAACCACTTTCAGGTTGTCTAAGGAATTTTATGAAGCCATCAACACAAAATACAGGCTAAGAATGAGATACAAACTTCACACTGCAGATTGTATATTTAAGAATGAGAACACAGTTTTTTTCCTAAATTTAACTTAAAAACAAGAACAATTTATAATTTTATTACTATGGCGAAACGGCCCTTTTAAAATCGTCTAACATGACAATTCGCGTGGTTCGGCCAAACCTTTTTAGCCCAGTTAAACAAAGTGTTAAGGATAAGTTCTTTTGAATTATCATTCCAAGCCCGAGTTTTGCACGAGTTGAGACGTTCAACACTCACAGCAATGTTTCATCGAGGACCTGATCATGAAGCGATAAAGCGTGACCTCAAGTTCAAAATGTTGTCTTGCTCGCATTCTATATATGATATGTTCTTCTCGAAGCGAAAAAGCAAATTGACACCAAAACCGTCCCTTCGTCCGGATTTACATTCAACATACCGTTAAAAATGTGACGCGCGAACAATTTTATCTGCAATGCAGGATAAATCTAAGAAAAAAGGTACAGCCACAATCGACGACAAAATTGTTGACTCGTTACCACTCAAAATGCAAAATTCTGTTGTGGCAAACCAATTTTATCCCCTCTACCCTTACTTTCACTCCTACTCCCACTCTCCCTTCCCCCACCCACCGCCCCCATGCACAATGCTTCTCTGTTTATTTTTATTCTTAAAAGATGAACGAAGGAACGGGGGTTCATTTTCAATTTTGTGTCGTATAATGTCCCGAAAAGTAGCGGCCGTGCATCTGTTAAGAAATAATAAGTCACAGATTACGTCAAAATGAGGTCAACTATTCGTCGCTCTCCACCGAAAAATCCAATCAAAATGCGTGTTAAATTTGGCTTATCTGACACTGGTAATTAATCGATAGAGGACTTTTCCAGAGTTTTCACAACGGATTTAGAAGATGCAAACCTGAGCTTGCAAAACTTTCAGAATTCTCCTAATCGTTCGAGTGCTCAGAAAAATACGGTGGCCCTTAGAGGACGTGCCACATTTTTTATCGCACGATAAACCAAAATATCGCGGGATAATTGGAAATTATCGCACGATAAATGATAATTACCGCGCGATAAATGATAAATTATCGCGTGATAAATGGGAAACCTGTTACGTCGCACGTGATCGGCTGTCACGCACATTGTTTCCTTGGACGAGACGACAATGGCTGCCGAAAGTTGTCTTAGTCTAGGAATTTACAACCTGAAATGTTATCAGAAATATTAGATAATCTACACTTGTTCTCAGACACTGACAGCCATCTCTGAAGGTGTCTCGTAAGATTTCGCCAAATCAAGGTTTACTCTACTGATTCACAAAGCTATGTGTCGTAGAAGTATTGCAAAGTGCTGCACAAAGATCTTTTCTATTCTCTTTTTTTCTTTAAAAATAACCATCAAAATCGCGGTGCGTATTATTCACCGATTCTATTGTTTGTCAAGCAGGTCCTAATTTGCATACGTTAAAAACACAACAACCTACCAATGAAACATTTTCAATTTCGATCCATGAATAAATTAAAATGACTATTTCAGACAACGAACGAACTATTAACCTCAAAACATACCTCCTCAACTGTGACAGCTATTGTCTTCCACGGAAACAACGTGCGTGGAATATATTTCTCAGTAAGCTCAGAAAGCCTGACGTCACACACGCGTTTACGGACACCTATTAATAGCCCAAGCCTGTATCTAACCATTACTTGCCCTAACACGTTTTCATAGCGTGACGATTGCAAGTGGACTTTACCCCTTGTTTATTTGCCGAGAATGAAACAATGGGCCACTACAAAAGTCTATGTAAACACAAAAAATTATTAAATTGCTTTCTTGAAATATATTTCTCAGTAAGCTCAGAAAGCCTGACGTCACAAACGCGTTTACGGACTCCTATTAATAACCCAAGTCTGTTACTAACCTTTTAACCAAGTTACCAAGGTAACTTTACCCCTTGTTTATTTGCCGAGAATGATAGCCAGTCCCAGAGTTCAATAGTAGATAAGATAAAGGCGGTGGCTTCCTTGACATCTAGCTGCGTGGTTGGAAGGCTGTTGATCTGTTTTCCTAAAAGGTGAGATTGGAGATACTTTTTTCGCATGTTTCATCATTTGTGGGAATATAAGCTCTTTATCATTCATTTCTTTCTTCTCTAATAGCCTGTTATGTAGAGAAAAGCTCTAGGCATTGAAGGAAGACATCTGTTATCACTTCTGCTTTCGATTTCCTTCCTCGCACGTCAAATGTGCAGATCATACAGTATATAAAGCAGTTTGATGTCATCTGTGATAGATGCGAAGATCTGTACTTGCGAGAGGGAACGTGATTCTCAAGAAAAGCGACTGGCACAACTTAAGGATATTATTTCAAAGTTATCGATCATTGCGTCGCAAAGTTGTTTTAAATTTTTACCAGAGTTAAAATTGACCCATTCAATTATAAAACTTTTGAGAAAATGTTTATAATTAGGAGGATTTCTTGATGGAACCAACACAACGTCATTTTATTTCGACCTTCACCGGCTTAAGAAGGAAAGGAAAAGAAAGGGGTTTTAAGCGAAGTACTTTGCCTAGTATAGAAACGCTTTTCGGAAGGAATCGCATGACTCACTAAAAGGAATTTGTAATGAATACAATGAGTGATCAACACCAATAATGAATTTTGTCATAACAGCATGTTATTTTGTAATTCCAAGTGTTAATATCTCCATGGTTTTTACTTGAATCAGGCTCGTTTCCGCGTTAGATTTCTACGCAGGTGTTTTGTGGTTCGAATCATAGAAATGCAGTCAGTTTTTCGGTGAAGTTTTTGTGTTTAATAATGAAAAACATAAGTGTTTTGTAATTATGTCTTATAGGCTTTGCACTGTGGGTAATATCAGAAAAATCAGGATCATCAGGTTGGCTACACGACCATTTTAAATCATCTACGAAAGGTAAGCATCGTTTTTTGATGATACAGAGGAGTAGGATTGAAAATAATACATCTAATTGATTGGAACCGTGTCGGTTGAAATGTGGATGTGAACTATCCAAATCTTTTATGCCGCTTCCTAAAGTTATTTTCCCTAGGAACACTTTCTTATTGATACCAATCAAGGGATTAGGTTTATATTCCTTCGTGTTTTTCGTAGATTTCATCATGGTTTGATGTTTCATTACAAAACATCACTTGCTGTAGATTTCCAGATGAAATGGTCCCTTTCCCTATTGTAGGAAACATGGCTAGAAAAAATGCAAAGCTCGTTACTTTCTATTGGAAATTGTTCAATACAATATTAGAAGTTTACAGTAGTGTTTTTTTGCACTAAAATTTCTACCAGTTTTGACTGATTTCAACTGTTAAAGGTGATGAATTAATTAATGTGGAACTGCTAAAGAGCTTAGTGCACACTGGACTCAATATTACTGTCCTCAGCTGAGGGTTTGGGAGATCTTGAAAGTTTTTTGTAATTTCATTGCTGAATATTTCACAGACATGCTTAAGTAAAATGGAACAGCAAATTGGACAGATTTCTCAGTGCATGATTGAATAATTAAGGTTAGTTGTCCCTCATGCAGTAATCAATTTAGAGCTTCAACATTCCCCTCCCAGGCAATACCCCTGGCATTTAAGCTTTTGAAGATTGGTCTGTTAAAGTTCCATGTCTGCTTATGTGTAGGACAAACAGCTACTTAGACATAAATACACATGCATCTGTATTTCCAATAATTTACATTGTGTGATTCCAAAACTGATTTCTATATTAAGATAATATGAGGATATTGGTTTGGTTGTGAGGCAAAACACTTTTGATTCTATGATATGGACAGTCATTAAAAACCTGAATCCTGGAAGCATTTTCATGCCACAGATATCTGGTTCAATAACAGTTAAGATTCACAACTGTGTGTGAAAATTTGACCCAGGTTAGCTTCGACCTATGGTTAGGTTTGTGAACTGTAGTGCTTCATCTTTTGTCTCTTACATTCACCCTGCTGGAGTCACTAAATACGCATGTACGTCATGCCCTGCATTTAATTGAAGCCAGTGTCCAAATACTTTGAATTAGACCCCAGGACTTTGGATTTTATGCTTCAATGCTCCACCTTCTGGCTTGAGAAAACATTTTAACCCTTTTATGCTCATGAGTGTCATATGGCACAAGATGCCATTACATGCTCAGTATATTTAGTCAATTTTTCTGAAATTTTCACAACTTAAAAAGGTTATTGAAAGATCTGCACACTGAAGGCATAAAATCATACCCCCCTCTAATATCAGACTTCATTAATCACTCCTGCAACTTTTGGGACTTTTTGTCTTTGTAGTGTGTTCTGGTTGAGTTGATATCTTACAACAATCAATGCCCTGAGAGCTGAAATTTAAGCTATAGTTTAGTGGTACACCCTATATGTACCTGGAAGACGAAAATGTTTGTTTTTCATTTTTTAGTTTTGACACTTCTGTACCTCCTCTACACCTGTTAGTGTCATTACCTTTTAATTGATTCATTTCACATGGTCTAAAGGTTCATTATTCTCACTTTAATAAATTTGCCATTCTCTCGTGGCAGTAAAACAAGCCAGGCCAAAATTAGGTTCATATGTGACATGTAATTACTGCATACTGCAAAGATCAGCATCATTGGAGAATTAAAGAAAGATGATAAATTTGATTTGTGGTGGAATGAAGATTGTTCTGCTCTGGGATGTGTTTTATACTTTGAGTGTTTAAAAAATATTTAATGTTCACTTCAAAATAACCTTCTAAATCGTTACTCATTTGTGGAGATCAATTATACAGATAATTGTATGATGTTTATTTGATTATGTAGTGCACTGTTTTGATGAAAAAAATTTCCTCTCCCATGGAAAATAGATCCAAAACTTGGATTGCATCTTATATAAAAGTTTTGTAGTGCATCCTTGTCACAGTGTGTGTTTATCATTCAAACTTTTGGCTTTACTTTAAGTCAGTTGACAGAATTTTCTCACTTGCTGTGCATGTGTGAATTACTAAGACTTATGATGGGTCTTTTAACTGACATGTTGACATTGTCAATTTCTCAAGTTTTGGGTTCTTCTTACAACTGGAAACTTCTTACTGCTGAATAACTACAATAATGCCCACATGAAAGGGCTTTAATTAACCAACTTATTACTGCCCCAAAAAAAGTGTCACAGAACTTAATGCAGGTAAAAAACTAAGAACAAGTGGTACACATTTAATTTTTTAACCCCCAATTGTGACCAGAATCAAATTTCCCCCTAGAATATCACCTGTGAATTAAATATTAAGGTTATGAGGATAAAAGAGATAATCACCAACTGTAGAAGCTCTTGATTGTTAAGCAAATTCTCCTTGTCAGCACCTTAGGAAATATTTAGATAAATGTGAGGAGAATATACATACTGATGTTAGGGTGTAAAGGGTTAAAAGTTCTGAGAACCATAATGATATTTTTACTAGAATCAATTAGCTTGGTCTGAAGTAATTGTGACGAGTTCAATACTTTGCAATATAATGTTTACTAATTAAATATGGCTGAAGAAAGATTTTAAAAAAATAATTTTTTTTCTATAAAAGTATTGTATAGGAACTTTTCATGGGTTTCATTTGATACAATATGTAGCCCTTACTTGGGGTTTGCTGTCAAGATCACAATACTGAATGTGTACAGAACCAACTGTAAGAAATGTTTTTCCCCAGGTACGCTTTCCCATTGATATCAGCAAAGCAATTTGGTTTATATTCCTGTGATCATGTTTTATGTAGAATTTATGATGTTTTGATATTTCATTAAACATCCCCTGCTTTAGATTTCCAGATGACATGGCTATTTTCCCAAATAGAGGAACATGACTCCAAAAAAATGCAAACCTCATAACTTTCAATTGGAAATTCTTAAATACAAAACTAGAAATTTACAGTAGTGTTCTTTTTTTGCACTACACTTTCCATAAGTTTTGATTTCTTCTCTTACAAAGAATTAATTAATTAATGTAGAACTGCTAAAGAGCTTACTGCATAAGAGTCATTATCCCTGACCTTAGGTGTGGGTTTTGTAGATCTTGAAAATTTTTGTAATTTCAGTGGTAAATCTTTCACAGACCTACCTAAGTATAATGGAACAGCGAATTAGACAGAATTCTCCAAGCAGTAACATATAACTAAAAATTTAAAATTCACTTCAAAATGACCATCCAGACAACGTAATTCATGTGCGAGGATCAATAAACAGATTATTGTATGATGGTTATTTGGTTATGAGGTGCACTGTTTTAATGAGAAAATTTTCCTTTCCCTGAAAAATAGATGCTAAACTCAGAGTGCAACTTATAGCAAGGTATTTTGGTGCAGCCTTTAACAGTGTGTGTATATCATTTAAATTGATTGCTTTACTCTACTGTAAGTCAGTTGACAGAATTTTCAATCTTACTGTGTGTGTGTTAATCACTAAGACTTAATTTTATGATGGGTCTTTAAATGTCACATTGACATTGTCAATTTCTCAAGTTTTGGGTTCTTCTTACAACTCAAAACTTCTTACAGCTGAATAACTACAATATAGCCCACCTGAGAGGGCTTTAATTAACCAACTTATTACTGCCCAAAAGCTCATGATTTTAAGGTGTAAAGAATTAAAAGTTCTGGAAACAAACAAAATATTTTTTTCTATGAATAATCAATTAGTGTGGTCATAAGTAATTGTGATGAGCTCAATACATTGCAATATAATGTTTGTGTACTGAATATGCTAAAAAAAAGATTTAAAAAATTATTTTTCCTTTGAAAGTATTGCATAAGAAATTTTAATGGGTTTCATTTTATACTTGCTTTGGTTATGCTGTGAAGATCCCAATAGAACCAACTGTACCAAAATGTTTACTCTCTCTGTGTGTGTGATTCTGTTACTGGTACATGTAGTGTGGTTATTTGGTCAGGAAAATGTCACTGTGGCTTATGAGCAATCAAAAGCAGTAGGGTAACCTCTTCTGACCCAGTATAAATTCTGTTGTTCTGTTGTTGCTTGATTACAAGTAAGATTTAGGCTTCCAATTGCCAGTAGTTTTGATGCGGGCATTATGAAACACTTTCTGAAAACTTCCTTCATCTTTTAACTTAACCCTTATCGTGTGGCTCCCGGAATATTCCGGGCGCACGTGTTCGTCCATGTGGACGGGTCCCGGAATATTCCGGGTTTCCGAACATCATTGTTTTATTGGCGTAGAAGTTCGGAATATGTCGGGCTTAGGTAGGTTTACGGTCATGGGCCTACCAAAGGGACATAAATTAAGCATCCGACAGAGTTCCGAAGATCCGAGTAGAATAAAAGAATTAATTAGCATGAAATATATTTTGTTGCGCGGTAAAACTGATAAACAAAGATGGCGGCCAATATTATATTTGTTGATGAAGGAACTATCGATGAAGTTGTTGGTGGAGAGGATAGCGATTTTGATGAAAACACGGATAATTCTGAAAGCAGCAAAGAAGAAGATGGCAGAAGAGAAGAAGACAGTGATGACGAGGAGGAGAGCAAAGAAGAAACCGAAGAAGACAACTGGGTCCTTGGCGATCGTATCCCGCGAAGGCTTGACTTCACAGCTGATCGAGGGTTGAATGTGGAGCTTCCTGACAATCCATCATTCTCTGACTACTTTCATCTCCTCTTCCCTGAAAACCTATTCGATGAGATTGCATCCCAAACAAATAAATATGCAAGGGAAACAATCGCATCTTTACAGCAAAGAGATTGTTTACCTCAGCAATCGAGGTTTAGAAATTGGCCTGAGGATGGTGTGACATCTGGTGAGATGAAAGCTTTTCTTGCCATGATTACTGCGATGGGCCTGGTGAATCAAGAGAATATCCAGGATTACTGGTCCACCGACGAGGTTTTATCTACTCCCTTTTTCCCTCAAATTATGTCAAGAGACAAATTTATGAACATTTTAACATTTTTTCACTTGTGCAATAATGATAATTATATTCCTCGAGGACAGGAAGGGTATAACCCAGTAAACAAGCTTGGCACTATATACAGTGTTGTCACTGGGAATTTTTCAGATGTCTGGAAGCCAGGCAAAAATATTTGCATAGATGAGGGAATGATTCCATTCAGAGGAAAAGTGCACTTCAAAGTGTACAATCCAGACAAGCCAGATAAGTATGGTGTAAAGTCATACCAGTTGTGTGACTCAAGTAATGGCTATTGTTGTAGGTTTGAAATTTACACTGGTGTAAACCAAGAACCACCCAGTGCTAAAGGCAAAACATATGACTTAGTCATGAGGCTCATGCAACCTTATTTGAATGTGGGTAGGTGTTTGTATGTTGACAACTACTACACATCACCTACTTTATTTGCTGAGCTCTATAGGCAGAACACTGGGGCCTGTGGAACAGCCCGCTACAGGAAAGGTATTCCCCAGGAATTTAAAAGGGCACAAGTGAAAAAAAAAGGTGACAAGTTTGTTATGAACAATGGAACTTTGCTGGCTGTTAAATTTAAGGACCGCAGAGTTTTCCAGATGCTGTCATCTGTTCACTCCATTGCAGATGTAGAAGTTGGCCGAAATCACCCTGGAACTGGGCGCCCAATCACTAAACCCGAGATTGTACATGACTACAACAAGTTCATGGGGGCAGTTGACAGGTGTGATCAGATGGTGGCCTATTCCTGCTTCAGGCGACGCACCATGAAATGGTGGAAGAAAGTGTTCTTCCATCTGTTTTCCTTAAGCATCCTGAATGCTTATATCCTCTACAAACATAGAACCCAGTCACCTGTACTGCAAAGGACCTTTCGAAGGGAGCTTGTGAAGGAGCTTGTTAGGAATTCTGGCATCTCCCATTCTCTCACTCCAAGAGGCCGCCCAAGGAGGTCAGCTGAAGGCTTAACCCGCCTCCAAGTTGGAGGTCACTTCCCAGAGAAAATACTGGGTACTGGGAAGAAGTCCAACATCACCCGGGCATGTGTGGTTTGCTTTCCTGCCCAAAAGAAGATTCTGAAAAGGACAGGAGATAAAAGGAAGAGGCCAGGGAAGGAGTCTAGCTTTCAGTGCAGTGTCTGTAAAGTAGCACTCTGTATGCAAGACTGCTTCCAGTTGTACCACACTGTTGAGGACTATGTTGCTGCTTACATTCGAAGACATGATGCCAATAATGACAATGTGGATGCTGAAACCAATTGATTAACTGATCATAGCCATTATTCATCTTTTTTTTGGTTTTGTTTGGTTTTGAAGTCAATTCAAACACAGAAATAGATAAATTTAGACCAATTAGACCCATACAACTGAGCTGACTGTTTTGAACTAATTCAAAACCAAACAATGTAAATAAATTCCTAATTTGATTATGTGTTGACTAGACAAATATGCAATTTTGCTACTATTTTGAGAAAAAAAAATGCTCTCACAGTCACAGGAATTGTTTTATCAAGTTGTTGGACTAGGGCTTAACTCTGGTTGCCATTTTAGGCTTGTACAGATAATTTTTGGAAGAAATTAATATGATGTGTTATTTGTTAATGTATAACTTTTGTCAAAAACATGATTTCATAGCTAAATTTTAAAAGCAACTTAGGTTCAAAATTTATCATAATAGAATAATCAGAAAGGAAATTTATTAAGCTTTAATTTGATATATAGGTTGTTGGGATTTGATGAAAAGTAAAGCTTTCAATGCTGTTGAAAGGATCAACTGTCGTGCATGAGTGCGTTTCTAAAAATAAAGTCAGTTTAAGGGATTGTAACCTGAACTCAAAGTCAGCATGTGTACAGAACCAACTGTGTGAAAATGTTTTTCCCCAGGCAGGCTTTCCCATTGATATCAGCCAAGTGATTTGGTTAATATTCCTGTGATCATGTTTTATGGAAATTGTATCCTGTTTTGTTATTTCATGAAACATTCTCAGCTTTGGATTTTCAGATGAAATGGCCATTTTCCCTAATAGAGGAATATGACTTGAAAAAAAGCAAACCTCATTACTTTTAATGGTAATTTTTAAATACAACATTAGAAGTTTACAGTGGTCTTTTTTTTTTTTTTGCACTTAACTTTCTGTGAGTTTTGATTGATTTCTTCTGTTACAAGGAATTAATTAATTAAAGTAGAACTGCTGAAGAGCATAGAGCATAAGACTCAATATCCCTGTACTTAGGTGAGGGTTTTGTAGATCTTGAAAATTTTTATGATTTCAGTAGGGAATATTTCACAGACTTACTTTAAGGGGAACAGCAAATTAGACAGATTTCCTTGAGCAGTAATGTATTAAGTTTAGTTTTCCCTTACACAGTAGTCAATTCAGAGCTTCAACATTCCCCTCCCAGGGAATACCCCTGGCATTTAAACTATAAGCTGCAGCAACTTAAACATAAATACATGTGCATTTGTATATTTCCATGCAGTAATTTACATCATATGATTCCAAAAATTATCTATTTTATATATATCTATTTTAAGATAATATTTAGGATATTGGTTTGGTGGTAAGGCAAAACACTTTTGATTTTATGATATGGACAGTCATTTCAAAGTTGAATCCTGGAAGTATTTTCATGCCACAGATATCAGTTTGGTTCAATGGCAGTTTAGCTTCAAAACCATGAGCTAAAATGTGACCCAAGTAAATCTTAAGCCACGGTTAGGTTTGTGAACTGTACTGTTTCATCCTGTGTTTTGTACATTCACCCTGTTGGTGTAACTAGTTGCCCATGTATGTCATGCCCTGCATTTTATTGAAGCCAGTGTCCAAATAGTTTGAATTAGACCCCAGGTCTTTGCATTTTATGCTTCAATGCTCCACCTTCTGGCTTGAGAAAATATTTAAACCCTTTATTGCCTGAGAGTGGGCACAAGATGTCATTACATGCTCAGTATATAATCTTAGTTTCTGAAATTTTCACAACCTAAAGGTGATTGAAGGATCTGCACACTGAAGGCAAAAAATCATGGCCCCCTCCAATATCAGACTTGACTTACCACTCCTGCAACTTCTGGAGCTTGTTGTCTTTGTACTTTTTTGGTAGAGGTGATATCTTACAACAATCAATGCTATGAGAGCTGCAATTTAAGTTACAGTTTATTGGTATACCCTATATGTACCAGGAAAGAAAAAACAACATTTTTTTTTTTCACTTTTGACACTTCTCTGTCTTTTCAGTTACCACCTCCACACCTGTTGGAGTCATTTATAGCATAACCCAAAAATACCTTTCCAATGATTTATTATTCATTGTCTAATGGTTCATTATTCTCATTTTAAAAAAAATGGCATTTCCTTCTAACAGTAAAACAAGCCAGGCCAAAATTAAGTTAATATATGACTGACATACTGCATTCTCCTAGGATCAAAAATTTGGAAAGCATCATGTGAGAATGAGAAAGATGATAAATTTTGATTTTGTAGCAGAATGAAGATTGTTCATTATTCTGCTTTGGGAATTGGTTTATACTTGGAGCATTTAAAAAACTTTCATGTTCATGTTCAATTCAAAATTCCCATCTACAGTTTAATGTCTTGTATGATAGTTCTTTGGTTTTAAGGTGCACTGTTTTTCCTCTCCCATGGAAAATAGATGCTAATCTCGGAGTGCATCATATAGCAAAGTATTTTGGTGCGGCTTTGTCACAGTGTTTGTTTATGATTTGAATTGATTTTTTGCTTTACTCTAAGTCCGTTGACAGTATTTTCCATCTTACTGTGCATGTGTGAATCAGTTAGACTATTTATGGGTCTTTTAACTGACTTGTAGACATTGTCAATTTTTCAAGTTGTGGGTTCTTAATATAACTGGAAACTTCTTACAGTTGAATAACTGCAATAATGCCCACCTAAGAGGGCTTTAACTAACCAACTTATTATTGCCCAGAGGCTCATGTTACAAGTGTTCCACAACCTCAAAAAAGTGTCACAGAACTATGAAAGTAAAAAACTAAGAACAAGTGGTATACATTTAACTTTTTAACTTCCAGTTGTGACCAGCATCAAATTTCCCCCCACAATATCACCTGTGAATCAAACATTAAGGTTATGAGGATAAAAGAGGTAATCACCAACTGTAGAAGCTCTTGATTGTCAAGCAAATTCTCCTTGTCAACCTCTTAGGAAATATTTAGATAACTGTAAGGAGAATATACATACTGATGTTAGGGTGTAAAGGGTTAAAAGTTCTGAAAATAAAAAAATTGGCCAGGTCTGAATTAATTGTGATGAGCACAGAACATTGCAATATAATGTTTGCATATTAAATATGCCAGAAAAAGGTAAAAAATAATTTTTTTTCTTTGGAAGTATTGCATAAGAAATTTTCATGGGTTTCATTTCATAAGATATGTTGCTCTTGCTTGGGTTATGCTGTCAAGGTCACAATACAGAATATGAGCAGTCAAAAGTAGTGGGGTACCTCTTCTGACCCAACATTAGCTCTTTAGAGTTTGCTGTTGGTAGATAACAAGAGAGATTTAGGCTTCCATGCCCTTCTAGTGGCAGTAGTTTTGATGGGGTATTATGACGTACTTTCTAAAAACTTCTTTCTTCTTTTAAATTAAGACCCTGCTCTAGAATTGGCTTGTAATGCTTCTATTGCTGATGTAAACCAATGCTAAGGGAACTCAGTGTTAAAATGATATGAATTTATTGTATATTACAATTAAACACAATGTTGTTTAGGTCTTGGATAAAAATCTTGTGGCAAATTATGATCCATATATCACTCATATATGTTAAATTACTTCCCTAAAGTGAAAACACTGACAAGCAAAAGTTTAAAAATTGTTGTCAGTATTTAAGTGCATTACCATTGAATTGAAGTTTTTGATCATTTTTATTCCTGTGTTCTATTGAGCAGTGAATCTGGTGTCATTACAAAGCCTTCAGTTAACATTTTGAGTGGTTCAACGGTGAAATGCTATTAATAACTTTCTTATATTTTGTTATGTGATTTGATTTTTTCCAGGAATCTCTGATCCCAAAGACTTTATTCCTTCAGCTGGCTCCTTGTCTGACCAATCAGCTGGCTTTTGGAATACAACTGTGACATTACCAAAATGTGATCAACAAAGGATTGCAAACGGTGTGTGGGGGAGCTCAGGTAACCATAAGGCTGTCAAATAATTATTATTATTATCCTATGAGTATGAACTGAAGATACCTGAAGTATTAAAATTTATAATTATCATTATATATACAGCGCAGATTTGATGATAAGTTTATAATATTTTAGTCAATAAACTTCTATAGAGACACGATTATATAGGAATATTACATCTTCAGAGCGCAAAAACAATCCCTGATACTCTAAAGATGACAGGTTTCTTTAACCCTTTGAACCCAAAGAGTGACCAGCATCTAATTTCTCCTTACAATATAACCCCTGAGTCACGTGTTAGGGTCATGAGAATGAAGGAAATGATTATTAATTAAAGAAAAGCTTTTGATCATTAAACAAAATCTCCTTGTCAGCATCTTAGGAAATGTGTTGGAGAGAAAGTATGGAGAATATGCATTATGACACTTGGGTGTAAAGGATTAAATAGTGTTGAAGGAGTCAAACTGATTAGTATAGTGGAGAAGTTTTGCTCCTCTTTCCAGTACATGTCTAAGAGAAGCAATTACGCAATTGTAATGTTTCTTTCAGAAAACGCGCAGGTACACCTGATTACTCCATCTTTGTATTTTGGATCATATGGCATCAGCTACTCCTTCACCTCTTGCCAGTTCTGTAGAGAAGACAAATGGAGCCAAGCTCAGCCGACTTCTCATCGATGGTGGAACAACAGTTCTCAGGAACGTTTTCAATGGATATCATCCCCCAGCAAGTCTTGCAGCCGCGTTGAATACAAACTATTTGACTCTTAAAAATCTGTTGAAAAGAAAGATTCTACACAAACCTCAATGGGATCTATTGTTCCCTCCAAGCGGTGCTCCTCCAGACTCCCAAACATTTGATATCACTCTTTTATTCCTTCTCTTAACCAACATTTGTGGTCTCTCTCCACCCCACTCTGGGTGGCACACTAAACCATCTCCAAGTGACAACTCCCTTGAAGCAAATCTTGCTCGCATAAAGTTTCACCGCAATGAATTGTATGGCCATGTTACCACAACTGGTATTGCTGATCCAGCTTTCTCAACTCTGTGGCAGGAGATCAGTGCTGTTCTTGTTACTCTTGGCTTGAGGCAGGCGGAAATTGATAGATTGAAGGCTGAGCATTGTGGAGAGCAAGAGTTCTTAGATGCGTTGCTTAAGTGGGCTGAATCTGAGGAAGATATAAAATCACAGCTGAAGGACATACGGGATATTGAGACCAAAGTGCTGCAAACTGTTGATGAAGTACGGCAGATTCAGTCCTTTGATCACGAAACTATTCGTGAAAGTAAAGCAAAGCTGGTAGAAGTTCATCAGTTGCAGAAGAACTTGCAAGAATCTGTCAGTATTGTGCATCAGAGCCAACAGCAAGACACTAGAGCCATTCAAGATAACTTTGGAAAAGTCTGTGAGAAGCTTCAAACTTTGGAGGAGGCATCCCAGCACACCATTCAAAATTTGAATGACGAGAATGAGAGCATCAGGGATGACAAAGTCCTTGCGAAACTAGCAAACGTGGACAATTTAGCTGAAATAAGACGCCATGCAAGCAGATATGTTGAGGGAACTCGTTTATCGATTCTTAAAGAAGTCGAGAGGTGGTTAGCCGACAAAAGTTCTCCAAATAGAGTGACTGTTATTAGTGGGAATGCTGGAATGGGAAAGTCTGTAATCTCAGCTGTCTTGTGCCAAAAGATGTTAGAGGCTGGACGATTGTCAGGGAGCCACTTCTGTCGGCATAACATGGCACGGCGAAGGAATCCCAAAGTGATGCTGCAGTCGTTAGCCTGTCAGCTTTCCGAATCGCTGCCAGAGTACAGGAAGGCTCTCGTGAAGAAGTTGTCGAGAAATGTGGGCGTTGAAATTGGAGACATGGAAGTGGAAGAACTGTTTGAATTCTTGTTTAAAGAACCTCTTTCAGATTTGAAAGATCCAGACTCTATCCATCTCATGGTTATAGATGGCTTAGACGAAAGTGAATACCAGGGGCGTAATGAGCTTTTAAATGTGACTGCGGATTACTTCAAGACGCTTCCGTGTTGGATACGATTTGTGGTAACAACGCGACCTGAAATGAACATCCTAGAGAAAATTCAAGACCTAAATCCCATACAGCTGAACCCAAACGATCAAGAAAACTTGATGGACGTTAGGCTTTGCTTTCAAGAGCAACTGGAGCATGTTCTGCAATCTGATTGCCAAGATACCATCTTAGAGAAGCTTGTTGAAAAGTCAGAAGGAGTCATGTTATATACCTATTACCTGACAGAGTTCATTAAGAAGAATGCTGTGCGTATGAGTGCTGCTGAAGTGATCAACAGCGACTTGCCATCAGGTATTTCGTCCGTTTATCAAGACTACTTTAAACGCCTGAAAAATGAAATGCAGAAAGAACTAGGTATCACTGAAGAGCAATTCTTCGATTTTTTAAGTGCCATGGTGGCAGCAAGAGAACCATTACCTGTCGAGTTTGTGTACAAGTTGTTCCTTTCAAAAGAATGGTCATCGGCTGATGAGCAAAAAGTACGAGACTTAGTTGATTGTATCTCGGCTCTTCTACCTATTGAGGGCGAGTGCATTAACTTCTTTCACAAGTCAGTCAAGGACTGGTTGGTTGAGGAGTCTACTTCGAGGCAAAAGAAGTTTATTGTCAGCGGAAAAAAATGTCATCGCGTCATTGCAAAGCTTTGCAGAGATGAACTAGATGAATTGAAACTTGAAGGGATCCAGAGTTCAACACTGAAACAGACGTCGAGGTATGCCTTGCAGCATGGCGTTCAGCATATACTTGAGGTAGAAGAGAATGCTCGTCCGTGTAGCCTCGACGACATTGTAAAGAGTTATGTTTTGGACCTAGAATTGGTCTATGCAAAGCTAACTGTGAAGAGTACAGCAGCCACTGAAGATGTTCTTTGCGTACAAGAGAAGGAAAATACAAATGGTCTGTCAAAGAATTGCAGAGAAGCCCTTGAGACGTTTTTGTTGCTGTTGCGGAAATATGTAAGGACCCTTTCAAAACTTCCTTATGCCATCTTTCAAATCTTATTGAATGAAGGAGGACCTGAACTGTCGGCGGAGGCATTAAGCTTGCTAAACACCAAGTATACGGACTTACCATACATGGAATATTTGCGAAAGAAGGAAAGAACAGATGTTCTACTGCAGTTTTTGGCTTCATATGAAGTGTACTGCTTTGATGTCTCACCAGATCAGGAATACCTGGTATGCGTTTGTTCGCATGACACAATTCATCTGTGGTCGCTCCGTACGGGCCAGATGATGTGGACACGCTCTACGCTGGTACCAGGACTTTATGATCTGAAGCACCCAAGGGTAAGATGTAAAACCCCTGCCCTATTTTGCCGGTCAGTAGTTTTCCATCCAACCTCAAAGCTGATCCTACAAGGGAATCTGTGTCAGAGTTATACCTTGGTCGGAGACGTGATACCTCTTTTCCGTTCGAGCAAGTGCTGGTTCAAAGTTTGTTCAATATCTGGTGACAAAACCACGATGCTGACTGACTGTCTGCACGGGAGGAATTGCGTCATCCAGTGGAGTCTAATAGATGGAAGCGAAATTTGTCGTTTTACACACAAATGCGAAATTTTATCTTTTGCTTGGTCTGCTAGTGGAAGACGGATGGTGATCGTCGATTCTGACGATTGCGCATACTTCATTGACATGAATGACGGAGTTGAGACTCTAATATGTGCTTCAGTCTGGTCAGGATATGTTAAGTTAACTTCTGACTGCCGGTTTTTTTTCTGTTTACTTTCGGATGAGGATGAACATGATTGGAATTCGAAGCCCAAGCTTTTTTGTTTAGATATTGACAGGAACACTAAGTCAATATATAGTTGGGATTGCATTTTTGGGACGAGTTCCTACCAGTACGCCTCGGAATTTGAAACTTGCAATGAGAGTGGTTTCTTATTAGGAGATCCCTTTTGGTTGTCAGATAAGGGATTCCCATTTGTGGATTTTGCACTTGTACTAGAAAAGCAGATGTTACTAAGAGTTTCCCCTTTCAGTAAAGTGATTGAAATGTGTCGCCTTAATGACGTAAGGGAGTGGAGATGTGAGAGTGGCGATGAAGCGGGACAAAGCATAGAACCCGGTGACATTACGACAGAGAGAGCCGAAAATAACGATCTAACGGAACATAACCTACCAGAAATCAACAATATGCCGGAAGACGGTTTTGTTAAAATTGATTACTTTGAATCAGCAGTTAAGGTTTATTTCTCTGTTGATGGTGACTCTCTTTATACTGTGACAGATGAAGGGATCCAGATAATAAATCTTGTGGCGGGCGATGTTTTAAGTAAAAGGATTAGAAAAAAGAAATGTATGATTCCAGAATTTTATAGTGTTGTGCCCGTCAAAAGAGGTGTCCTACTTCAAACAGATAGTTACTTGCTTGAGTTGTGGAACTCTGAGTTGTCTGTTTGCATGAAAAGGTGGACTGTCTTTCCAATCTCTAAGGTTGTACCCTTATCAGAGGAAAGAGTCGCCTTGGAAAAGGATTCGGAACTTTATGAGAGATGGGAAGTCATCATTCTAGATACGACGAGTGAAAAAATTGTGTCAACGATTCCAAATGATGATAATTATTTTTTGGCATGTAATGATAAATTGGAAGTGCTAACCGCTGGTTTTGGATCACTGATGCTGTGTCAAGAAAACCAATTCCTATGGATAACTTTTGTTCAGGAGCCTCTATACTACAGTAGCAAAGGTGTTTTATTTTCTCCTACTGGAGAATACATCGTCACTTATGGTGAACTTGGCTCTTACGTCCTCGACGCAGTTTCGGGAAAAGTGATTCGTCAATCGAAGAACATGGATGTAGATGATGTTAAGTTTATCAGTAACGAGGACTGCATTGTGTGCTATAATTATCAAAGAGCTTTTGCTCTTCGATTATACAACGTTAAATCTGGTGATCTCCTCAGTGAAATTGTAGAGCAACGACAATTTCGTAGTCTTGCAGTTTATCCTCGTAAGCGCTTGGTCGCAATTGGCTTTCAAAACTCCAAGGACCATTTTGAAATCATTCAAGCGAAGCTGCCAGGCGACAAAGAAAAGACAAACATCGAAAGGTCAGTTGAAACAAAGTTTATTTGAAGACAGAAAAATAATAATGTGTATAATAATATAATGTTAATAGTATTAATAGTAGTAAGAGTAACAATGATACTTAATAATAATGTGATAATGATAATAGTGATGATTGTACATGTGATGATAACGATAACAGTGGTAGTAAGAAAAGTTGTGATGATAATTATAACTATGATGATACTAATGATAAATAATGGTAATAGGACAGAGTGGAGTCCACTTCGGTCTGTAATCATACGAGAGATTAGCAAAATCGGACGACCGCAAAGCAGGAGTCCGATTTGTCAATCATGAGTTTGATTATAGACACAATTGGACGACACAAAGTCCTATATCAATTTATCATAACCGTTACAATTTCCGAGGACAACAAACACATTGAGGACAAATATACCCGGTAGAGACAATTTATAAAGTGAAAAATGTCTCAGTTTTGGAAATTCCACAGTTTTTTTTTAGTGTTGGTGCTTGTTGCTATGGTTGTTGTGATCAATTCTGTGATTGGTGGATTTGGCGGAAAGGACTCAGTATGATTGGACGCTTCAACTATCCGATCTCAGGTGTCCGATTACAGACAACTGTCCAGTTACAACTGTACAGAATGATTTGTGAGAAATAACTACTGATCACAGGTTAATTTACTAAAAAATACTCTATTACTTGAGATGTTGCCTTTGACTTAACTTCTATTATTGAATTTTTACCTTAGGTTGAACCTCCCAGAGTAAGACATCTACAGAGATTTACAGTTTCGTTGCTGAATGGGAAAGACATTGTCAGAAAGGCTGTATTGCGCTATTTCTTTGCATTCGAGTGGTTACGATCTTCTAGTCCCGACATCTGAACAGGAGAGACCGCTGATCGAGATTGGAGCGAGTACAAGAATGATTTCAGTGACAAAGCTGTTCAAGGTTTTAAATTACATTTTTCTTGTAGAGACTTCATAAACATTTTTAACTGTTCCCAGCGTAAACTTAAGACAAACATTTAACCCTGTAACTCCCATGATTGACTAAGACAGAATTTCTCCTTACAAAATCAATAGAATATCAACCAGATAAGTTATGAGAATAAAGAAAAATCTCAATTTAGGGATAATTTGTTGATCCAATACTAAATTCCCTGAACTAACTTTTTAAAAATTTTATGTTTGACTGTAAGGAGAATTACAAATTTGATCTGGGAGTTAAAGGGTTAACGATCTATCTTATTGCTCCTGTGGTGTTTCATCACCCAGCTACAAGCTAACAATTTGTTTTATGGAAGCGGAGTGTTGTAAGTATTTCACTTAGTGTTGATTTGCAACTCGTTTAACTCGTGAGATTAATTTCTAGAGGAAAACGAAAAAGGTAATGACAAATTGTACAGTTCTAAGAAAAACCTTAAATTTATTTTCTGCAAAATGACTTGTACAGCTCGAGACTGTTAGCGAAGAAGAGAGAAATAGCTTGTGGTAACACTGGCGATTCTCTCGTATATTTCGTGTGAAAGAGGTTCTTTCAACTGTGTGTAAATAAGAAACCAGCTAAATTTATATCCATTTTATGTGCACATAGCTTATACCGGCCCGGTTGAAGATGAAACCAGAATAACCGCGCAGAAATCGTTTCTCTTACATTATTTTCTAGAAAAAAGAAGGATATTCAATACGCTGATTTTTTGCATACAAATTAGTTTACGTGTGTTTTTGAAATTTGAAGACATTACTTAATTTTTGAAAATACTTTCTTTTGTCGGGAAGGTGGGGCTGTAGTCACTCAAAGTGAAGTAGTTTTACAATAAAATTAAAACTGAGAAGGATTCAATGTCCAGTTGATGTGAAATTCTGTAGGCATAGCCCTAACCTCCAGTAGGTGGCTGTTAGTAGTCATTTGGTAAGGTGCCCGTGTGAGTCAGAGCATCGTTGCATAGTCAACCTCACCAGGGTGGTGAGAGGCTGAAACGTGCTGACCCTTATCTACTTCTCCCAAACGGGTACGCTGGGCCCTTCCAACACCAGGCCGCACTGACCTTTGAAGGGTCGGGGAGAAGGAGGAAGGCTTCAGGAAACCTCCAGTAGTGCCGATTTTTTACTGGGCTGCCCTGTTGACGATGAGTTTTAACCAGAAAAGGAATTTTTGACACACCTTTCGAATCAGGAAATCTTCCTCTCTAATTTCCATAAAGTTATGACGGAGATAAAAATTTGAAAAGCAAACGCACATGTGCAAAGCATATTTAGTGAAATAAACTAGTCAAACCACTTTTATCTCAGGAAAACCCATAAATTAAGAGTAGAAAATGCCTCATCCATTCCTAATTTGAATCACCTCGTGAAATTCTGCTCCTTCATGGAAGAGAAGACACAGGACTCAATAGAACATCGCATTATCAACCTACTGCTTATACTAGTTTCCATGTTCTTTTTTTTTTCCTTTATTTTTCTACGTCATCAGTGTCTTCTACACCAAGTAGGAGCCTGAAATTTAAGGGCGTCACCACACAGTTCATAACTTGGGGCGCTGACAGGAGAACACCCTAACATCAGAATCTATATTCTCCATGAAGTTCACGAATCATTTCCTAAGGTGCCACGGAGAAGTTGTTTAACAATCGAGAGCTTATTTAGTTAGTGATCATTCCCTTCTTTCATTTCTTGATTCAGGGGCGATATTTTAAGGAGAAATTAGATGCCAATCGGTCCTAGGGTTTAATGATAATTAAACCTATAGTTAAAGCTGCTTGCCCAAAACATGTCACTTTGATTTTGAACGTTTATAAATGCACTATACAGGTTCGCATATCCCCTGTCAAGCACCAACATATTTGGAGATCCAAACCCTGTTCAAAGCATAGTAGCTTCGCTCGTCCTGGGATATGTTCCACGGTTTCGTGAATAAGTACCGATTAACACTCGATGGCGGTGGCAGATTCGTTCTCAGTCGCATCAAAGAAGTCGTTGAGGAGAGCGCGGATGAACAAGGCGCGATGGATCTTGATTTTCCTTTTGATTGGTGAAGGTGACTTAACCCTTTACATGCTACTATCAGTATGCATATTCTCCATACTGTTATTTATACATTTCCTGTGGTGCTGATAAGGAGAATTTGTTTAACAATCAAGAGCTTCTTTAGTTGGTGATCATTTCCGTTATTCCTGTGACCATAATATTTGATTTAGGGGTGATATTGTAAGGAGAAATTAGATGCTGATCACTCTTGGGGGCCAAAGGGTTGAGTTATATCTATCAAATCGCAGACTTTACAGAGGTAAACTGAAAGCAAGTTCGAAGTGCATTCGGCAATTGCTGCAGAGCACTACGCTAGCGTCCTTAACTGATGTAAAAGTATAGATCATGTGACCGTTCGAAAAGGCTCGGAAAAGTGGCATAGACTTTGATAACAGATCACAGCTTCAATTTAAATCAAGTGACGGGTTCCTTAATTTTAATTTAAAGCTAATTCAGTTTTGGATCATACTAGGGTTTTCTATCGTTCAAAGCTGACTTTGTGCACTGTAGCTGAGTAATCACCTCGTATGTTTTCTGCTCTTAGCGATGAAGACATCGTTGAATACCTTGTGTCTCAATGTGTTCCTCTGCAATGATTAATCAAAGCGTATTCGACGATTCTTGAATGGAGGTTAGTTCGAAAATAGCCAGGGATTAGACCTTCTTTTCTTCGGTCGAAAAGTGTTGTAGCACCAGGTTTCTGGCATTTATCTGCGGGAGATTGTCGGTAAACTCTTCTGGGCTTAGCAGTTCATTTCAGGTGGAGTTTACCTCAAATTCTTTAGAACGAGAATACGGGCATCCTGGATAAATGCCAGTCCATTGAACATAACTTTCAGCATTTCGTGAGAATTCCATGATAGTTCATCCTTTGAGAGGAGGGCCACTGAGAGAGTAAAGTTTCTTCCCTGAAAACACAACACAATGACCCTGCATGGCCTTGAACCTGAGCTTCTTTATCCAGAGCCCAGCGAAGTAATCGCGACGCCATTTTATTTTGTCAAGAGAATTGGACCTGATTCTCTTTTGGCCTCATAGATAGTGGTTTACCATTATAAACAGAGAGAAAAATATGCCAGGAACCTTAGCCATTTCACCTCAACAAATGAAATGTGAGCATCCGTCCCATAATTCCCTGCGCGTCTCCCACTTGTTCCCACGCCTTTCAAATGAGCTCGCGTAGCGGTAATTTACGCTAATTGAAACTACTATTCATCGGAAAACGCGACTTTTTTAACTCTTTCCTTTTATCCCTTTAAGTTTTTTGAAACAGAGCCGTGTGAATGCAGAGCTGGACGGCTTTTTCCGGACCGGCTCACGTCAACACGTCCGGCCCTACACACGTCAGCTCTCATCCTGGTTTTCTGTGGGATTGCGCGAGCGGGGCCGCACGGGTCATATGATAATATAAATGATTACTTGTGCGATTTATTGATTTATTGCTGAATAAAGGGGTAAGTTATTAAGGAAACTGTGGTGCTGCGCTGGGGGTGGGGGGGGGGACGGGCCGGGGTATAGCAAGATAATCTGGTTTTATCGACTGAGTTGATGATGTAAACTGACCACCGCAGAGTTTCTAAAAGCTGACTTCACGAGCGCTAGTCCTTCGTCAGAACGATCAACGGAGGGCTAACGCTCCGAACATCAGCATAGAAACTATTTATAGTGACCGATTTAAATTATCGACTTGGTTGATAAAACTTAATTGATTTATTAATGGTTTGATTAATTAATTGCTTGATCGACCGACCGTCAACTCAGGTGTCAACGCAAAACGGAAAAGAGAATAACGACCGTGTTTTATGGACGCAGTGGATCACAGTTTACCAGTGAGTGGGAATCATGGTTTGCGTGTAAGAAACCACAAGGGTAATCGTAAATTAAGGAAAAAATTAATGGAACATGACATCCACGTAGCTGCTCCTAAGGAAGTAATAAGAAATGAGGATTAAATGTACCGAAGTTCGCTGCAATACCTTCCTCCCTATTGAGTATTGTATAATCACAGACAACAAACTTCCATATTGTACAGGGGGAGAAGGGGTTAATTTGTATTTTGTGTATAATTGGTATGCTGTTACATTAGAGTTGACAAGTGAATTCTTGTCTTCATTTATTTTTCCTTCTTCCTTTTGTTTTTATTTTCTTTCATTTACCAAGAGATCGTCTTGATCAGGAATGCGACCATCATGATGTTCAAGAGGTAAACACGACACTTCCATTCATTTGAAAATAACTCTTTGAAGGACTCATCTTTCCTTTTAATTTTTTACTGATTTACTGACTTTTTTTCTCTTGCACACAGGTAAACAAAGAACGAGTCAGGATAATGAAATCCAGCAACCCAAGGTACTTGTTTGTGTTCTTCTTGAAGAATGAAATGTTGCCCTCAAGCCCCGTATCCACCATTACCGACTCTCTCCAATGAGAATCAATACGCGACTAGAGATCAAAATTGACAAATACACTGGCGAAAATGACTTCACTGTAACCAACACCTTGTTTTTTTGGAATTATCGAGGCATAAAGTGAAGTGTGCTTGTGAGATTGTCTCGCACTGCCGTCGCAGCTTATTCCTGTTTCTTTGGCGAGAAATCCCCTCGGGAGTATTGCCAATCAGGGTTACTCTCCCTCCCCACACACCCCCCCCCCTCCCCTCCTCTACTTTTCGTTACGTTTCCCGGGTAACTTACCTTCCAGAGATAGTTACCACGAGAACTATATGTCCAGCTTATGACCAAAACACATTGACACGGCCAGCACTCGAGCCCTGACTCACTGAATTTCATCGCCCTGAGCATAAAGCTACCGGTTCTTTACATCGTTTGGAATTTATTCGCTAAAGCAAAACGAATTCTAACATTGACGAGTTTTATTTCTGTTCATATCTCCAAGTTTTTTTTTATATATCGTTGTGCAAATATTTTCTTCGCAGGTTTGTTCTTAGAAATTACATCGCCCAAAGAGCTATAGAGGCCGCAGAAAATGGAGACTTTTCTTTGGTAAGAGCAGTGAAACCAGTAGAACCCGTCAAACATTTTTAATCTTGAAAACCGTTGCATACTTATTTGCAGGTTTATTTCGGTAAAATTTCCCCACAGCCCCATGCTACATTATGTATTCAGTTCTTGGATAGAGAAAACAATGACAAAAACAATACATTGCTATTGTAAAAACAGATTTGTTTTACAATAGTGTAGGGCTGTGCAAAAATTTTACCTTTATTTTCATCCAGCACGATCGAAAGAGATTATGACCAACAGGGAAATAGGAAGTTATTTGGTTTTATTCCTTTCTTTACTTTGGCGGGCAAAGAGAATACACATGAGTCAAAGACGCTTGTTAGAAGAAACTCGTCGGCGCAAAATTTTCCCGAGATTCTGTGCAAAATTATTTGAGAAGTGTCCTTGTTGGATAATTTGGTATTATTTACTGAGTTGATAACGTAAATTGGCCACCGCAAAGAGTTTCCAAAGACGACGTTTCGAGCGTTAGCCCTTCGTCATAGCTAATGGGTCATATACACTGACAAAAATTTTTTCCTGACGTTTTCCTTTGTCGTATTTAAACTCGGAGACTCGTTTGTCATCTTTTGGAAAGGGATTCTTTTAGTACTAATTTTCCATCTACGATGCAAGGGAAACATTTCGAAGAGAATACTTGCAAGCACTGACTTGTATGTGGTTTAAGATGAACTCATCGGCAGAAATATTGGACAAGATGGCGGCCGCGCTTGCGCATTTCGTCCATTATGGCGTCCAAATAATATAAGAAACTGTATGGAAATTTGTGAAAATTTCTAAAATATAACAATCAGGAGCTCATGGTCCCGTCTGCTCTCGATCGAGACATATTCAGTACTGATTATGCTATTCATCAAACCTCACAGGGACTCGATAAATAAAAACAACTTACTTCCCGAGCCAGTTCTTTTGTCACTGATCATTGACCTAGGTCGCCATACAGTTCTTCAAAATCCGTCGTTCTCCATCCCAAACACTCGCCTATTACAGGAAAGTGCATCAATAAAGTCAATTGCTCTCGATCGAATTGACTGCTACAGAGTTCGAAGCGTCCAAATATCCTGTAAAATTGCCATTTCCTCCCATCAAAAAACTTCCCAACGCGCCAGAATATCCCTTATTTTCCATGTTGAGTAAGTGACGAGACGCCATGTTGAAAACTATGACTGAAATAGTTAAACACGAGCAACGCTGACCTTCGAATCGTCGGCCATATTTGTTTATGTTCTTGCAGGGAAATAAATTAGTTCTCAGGTTCTTTTCGGAATAAAAATATGCCAGGCATTTAATGCAAATTCAGTAGTCTTAGCGCGAAAATTAAATTAAAGCAAATCAAAATTCTGACATCATGTCATCGCTCTGCCTCGAAAAATCCCAAAGATTTACTTGCAGGTCTTCTTTTATTTTTCTTTTCATCAAATAGAGGATCTGCGGTGCTCAAATTGTATAAGTCATGGTACGAAACACTCTTCTTTGCAGATCGAGCCGTGATCGCCACCATATTGAATTCTCTTGATATTCTATTGTTCCGGAGTGTAATACGATATACCGCTGATAATTGTTAGCGGGCTCGAAATGTCCTTGATTTCTGGGGATGGATAACATTTAACATTTCCTTCTCCTGTTCTTTTGCAGGTTCAAACTATTCTGAAACGCTTGAAAACACCTTACAGAGACGGTGTGGAATTTGACGAAGCTACGTTCTACGTAGCAGCGAGTACTAATTCCACCTTGTCTTGTAATAATGAGAAAACGAGGCTGTTCAACGCTCAGGATACAAAGAAAACTAACCTTGATATATTGCCTGATGATGCGTTTAATATGCGGCTATCGTTATCTTCTTAAATCTACCGCGTAATCCTCGTGGGTCCTCGTAGCGGAGTGAGTCTATCGTCCCTCCTCGCTCAGAGCGAAGAAGTAGGGTAAACGACATGCAGGATTGAAAGGGATTTTCACCGATTGCAGTTGGCAAAAAAAGTAAAATAGTAAAACGATAGTGTAGCTTGTTTTCAGGCTCTACCTCTTTGCCACTCGTTCGTTTAAACAGCGAATCAAAATTGTCGTCACCACACGCGGCTCTCAACTAGTGATCAGGCTTTCACAAAGACCTCTTGCAGGATTATACTGCTTAATCAAAACAATTCCAACAATCTTTCGTTTGGATCAACAAATATGGTCCCCCACAATGTTTTTCTGTTCACTTTGATTCTAGATAGATAAACGACGAGACAGGGTTTACTTTCAATTTTATGACGTTCAACCGTCCCGGAAATTGGTTGCGTGAAAGTCGAGTGTCAAAGAATTTTGTTGTGTACGCTGCAATTTCATTTCGCTGTGCATCTGTTTCATAATAGGTCACAGATTAGGTCAAAATGAAGTCAAGTATTCTTTTCTCTAAACCGAAAGATCGTTAAAAATCCAATTAGCACGCTATTAAATTTGGCTTATCTGATACCGATAATTGATCGATAAAGGACTTTCCAGTTGTTTACATAGAGGATTTAGAAGAATTCAAGCAAGTCATGCAAACCTGAGACACAGTCGGGAGCTTGCTAAACTTTTAGGAATTCTCCCGATCGTTCGAGTGCATAGAAAAGCCTATGTAAACGCAGATAAGTTAGTACCAGGAGCCATTATGTTCCTGTAAGCACTTAATTGCTTTCTTCAAATATGTCTCGGTTAGTTCAGAAAGCCTGACGTCACACGCGTAACACGTTTAACAGCGTGACGATTGCAGGTGGACTTCATCCCTTGTTTATTTACCGACAATGATAGTCAGTCCCAAAAACCCAGAGTTCATTGAGAGATAAGAGAAGCAGATTAGATTTTGGGGCGCTGGTTTCCTCGATATCTGGCTGCATCGCTGGAAGGCTGTCGATCTGTTTTCCCAAAAGGTTAGATTGGAAATAATTTTTTCGCTTATTTCATCATTTGTGGGAATATAAGCTCGTTATCATTCATTTTTTTCCTCTTCTATAGCCTGTTATATAAACGCTTTAGGCGTGAAAGCAATACATCTGTAATCACTTCCGCTTACGATTTCCTTCGTCGCTAAGTAAAAATTCATGAAAGGAAATTTCGTTTTGACTTAACCATTAACCAACTGTGCAGATCATTCGGTATATAGAGCCGTTTGATGTCATCTGTGGTAGGTGCAGAGAGGAAAGGAAAGCGACTGGCTCGATTTGAGGACATCATTTCTAAGTTATCGATCATCGCGTCGCAAAGTTGTTGTCAAATTTTTACCAGAGTTAAAATTGATCTATTTAATAACAAAAATTTTGAGAAAATGTTTATGATTAGGAGGATTTCGTTTTATTTCGACCTTCACCGGCTTAAGAAAGGAAAGTAAAAGAAGGGGACCTTCAGCGAAGTATTTTTGCGTCGTATGGAAAATACATCTCGGAAGGAATCGCATGACTCATGAAAGGAATCTGTTATGAAATCAGTGAGTGATTAAGACCAAGAATAAATGTTGTCATGACAGCATATTATTTTGTAATTCCAAGAGTCAATATCTCCATATTCGCTTTTCAGATCCCGCGCTACTTCTAGTCTTCTGGTACTCCCCACTCGTCGACTCGAGTGAAGTTGCATTTTGCCTCCCTGAGCACATTTCCTACAACGAGGCGTGTTCTAGGTTTGCCATAGTTTCTCTTGGTAATACTGGACCTTTTCTCACCAGCAAGGTTAGTAAGGATATAATTATGACTGATCTCTCTATTTTCAGAAATACAAAAAACCAGATGTTTATTAGTTTGGCTGGTTTTTACCTGAATCGGGCACGTTTCCGCGTTCGATTTCCACACACGTGGTTCGTGGTTCGAATCATGGAATTACAGTCAATTTTTCGATAAAGTTTTTGTGATTAATTGTGAAAAACATAAGTGTTTTGTTATTATGGCTTATAGGCTTTGCACTGAGGGTAATATCAGAGAAATCAGGATCATAGTTTGGCTATACAACATTTTGAATCACCTACTTCCATTTTAAATCATCAACTGAAGGTAAGCATCTTTTTTGATGATACATTATTAAATGAGTACGATTGAAAATAATACACCAAATTAATAGGTATCGTGTCGTTTATAATGTGGATGTGAGCTATCCAAATCTTTTATAGCACCTACACAAGTAATTTTCCGCAGGCATGCTTTCCAATTGATATCATGCAGCTAAGAGATTTGGTTTACATTCCTGATATCGTGTTTTAAGTAGATTTCATCATGTTTTGATCTTTCATTACATATCACCTGCTTTAGATTTCCAGATGAAATGGCCATTTTCCCTTATAGAGGATAATGAGTAGATAACATGCAAACCAATTTCAATTGGACATTCTTAAATAAAAAATTAAAAGTATAGTTTTTTTTTGCTCTAAACTTTCCATGAGTTTTGATTGATTTACTTTGTTGCAAGGAATTAATTAATCAAAGAAGAACTGCGAAACGGCCATTAGTGCATAAAACTCAATATCCCTGTCATTAGGTTAGGGTTTGGTAGATCTTGAAAAGTTTGATAATTTCAGTAGTGAATATTTCACAGACTAATTACTTAATAAGTATCAGGGAACAGTGAATTGGACAGATTTCTCTGAGCAGTAATGTATTAAGTTTAGCTTTCTTTAATGCAGTAATCAATTCAGAGCTTCAACATTCCCCTCCCAGGCAAATATCCCTGGCATTTAAACTTTTTAAGATTGGTTTGTTCAAGTTCTGTGTCTACTTATGTGTATGACTGGCAGCAACATAAACATAAATACACATGCATTTATATTTCCAATAATTTACATTGTGTGCTTCCAAAAATGATTTCTACATCAAGATATTAAGAGGATATTGGTTTGGTGGTAAAGCAAAACACTTTTGATTCTATGATGTAGACAGTCATTAAAAACTTAAATCCTGGAAGCATTTTCATGCCACAGATATCTGGTTCAATAGGAGTTTAGCTTCACAACTGTGTGCTAAAATTTGACCCAAAATACCTAAGGTGTAACTAGTTACCCATGTATGTCATGCCCTGCATTTTATTGAAGCCAGTGTCCAAATACTTTGAATTAGACCCCAGGTCTTTGCATTTTATGCTTCAATGCTCCACCTTCTGGCTTGAGGAAACATTTTAATCCTTTTATGCTACTGAGTGCCATATGGCACAAGATGCCATCACATGCCTAATATTGAATCATATTTTCTGAAATTTTCACAACCAAAAGGTCATTGAAAGGTCTGCACATTAAAAGCATTAAATTTTGGCCCTCGATCTCCAATATCAGACTTGATTTACCACCCTTACAACTTTTGGAACTTTTTGTCTTTGTACTGTTTCAGTTGAGATGATAATCTTACAGCAATTGATGCTCTGAGAGCTGCAATTTGATTTTGTGGTGGAATAAAGATTGTTTATTGTTCTGCTCTGGGATGTGTTTTATACTTTGAGTGTTTAAAAAATTTTAATGTTCACTTCAAAATAACCTTCTAAATTGTTACTCATTTGTGGAGATCACTTATACAGATAATTGTATGATGTTTATTTGATTATGTAGTGCACTGTTTTTATGAAAAAAATTTCCTCTCCCATGGAAAATAGATCCAAAACTTGGAGTGCATCTTATATCAAAGTTTTGTAGTGCATCCTTGTCACAGTGCGTGTATATCATTTAAATTGATATTTGGCTTTACTTTAAGTTAGTTGACAGAATTTCCTCTCTTGTTGTACATCTGTGAATTACTAAGACTTATGATAGGTCTTTTAACTGACATGTTGACATTGTCGATTTCTCAAGTTTCGGGTTATTCTTACAACTGGAAACTTCTTACAGCTGAATAACTACAATAATGCCCATCTGAGGGGGCTTTAATTAACCAACTTATTACTGCCCCCAAAAAAGTGTCACAGAACTTAATTCAGGTAAAAAACTATGAGCAAGTGGTACACATATAACTTTTTAACTCCAATAATTGGAGTTAAAAATGCTGGTCACAATTATTATAGAATTTCCCCCAAGAATATTACCTGTGAATCAAATATTAAGGTTATGAGGATAAAAGAGATAATCACCAACTGTAGATGCTCTTGATTGTTAAGCAAATTCTCCTCATCAGCATCTTAGGAAATGTTTAGATAACTGTAAGGAGAATATACATACTGATGTTAGGGTGTAAAGAGTTAAAAGTTATGAAATGAAAGATATATTTTACTATAATCAATTAGCCTTGTATAAAGTAATTGTGATGAGTGTGATACATTGCAATGTAATGTTTGCTCATTAAATATGCCAAAAAAGATTTAAACAAAATTTTTTTTTGTCAAAAGTATTGCTTAGGAAATTAATACAATATGTTGCTCTTACTTGGGTTATGCTGTTAAGATCACAATTCTGAATGTGTACAGAACCAACTATAAGAAAATGTTTTTCCCCAGCCAGGCTTTCCCATTGATATCAGCCAAGTGATTTGGTTTATATTCCTGTGATCATGTTTTATTAGACTGTATCATGTTTTGTTATTTCATGAAACATTCTCAGCTTTAGATTTTCAGATGAAATGGCCATTTTCCCTAATAGAGGAATATGACTAGAAAAAATGCAACCTCATAACTTTCAATGGGAAATTTTTGAATACAAAATTAGAAGTTTACTGTAGTCTTTTTTTTTTTTTGCACTTAACTTTCTGTGAGTTTTGATTGATTTCTTCTGTTACAAGGAATTAATTAATTAAAGTAGAACTGCTGAAGAGCATAGAGCATAAAACTCAATATCCCTGTCCTTAGTTGAGGGTTTGGTAGATCTTGAAAATTTTTATGATTTCATTAGTGAATATTTCACAGACTAATTGCTTAAGTATTGGGGAATAGTGAATTGAAAAGGTCATAGACAGGCCTACACAGACTCCCCTGTGTGGTTTTACGTTTGCGACGCAAAAGCCTTTAATTAAAGCTTCGCTCTGACGAGTATGTCTTTGAGCGATTTACCTCTTTTGTATGATATAATCGGAGGCGTTTTGTAAATTGTTTTCAGCAGTGGCTGATTTTGGATGAGGTTCCATTCTTGCATCAGTATTTGTTTTAAATTTTTAACCCCTGGCAGGGCGTGAAATTAACTTTTTTTTCTGATAGCCACTTGGCTCCTAAATTCTTCAAAGTGGTAGCCAATTCAAAAAAGTTGGTCGCCATTTTCAAAGACAAACAAAATCTTTCTTTACGCTGTCAGCGTTCTAGATAGACCCTCCAAAATTAAGTTAGGGAAAAGATCTTTAACGTGCTACAAAGTGGACACTAGGATGGATGATATACAACGTTCAGGCTCATCTAAATCCAAGATGGCGTCTGGTTACGATCGGGAGTTACTACATCACGGGCGACGAGCGGGGATAGAAAAAACGACCCAAATACGAGTGGTCAGCGGTGAAACAACTTTCATACTTCATATATAGACAGATCATTTGTAGTATCAGGAAACAATCGTGTTGTAAAGCCGAAGTGTAAACAGTTTACTTCGCTAAATAAAATGTTAAGCAATTCAAAAGTGTTGATTGTACATATATCTTTTACTGCTTTAATAAACAATGAAGGCATCGGTGGCATCCGAAAGGTACCAAGAAGAATTAAATGTACGTTTTGTAGTTGCAGAAAACAATCATGTTGTAAAGCCGAAATGTTACCAAGTTACACTTCGCTACTTAAAAAGTTAAGCAATTTTCCTCAAGCTTTAACTGGAACAATACTTCTTATGCTCTATTGACCAACGGAGGCATCGGGAAAGGCATTGCTGACACCGGGGAAGGCATCAAGAAGAATGATTTTCACGTTATGTAACTTGTTGTGTGACGAAAAAAACGTATCTTGACTTGTTCAAAGCATTAATCACAGTTGGCTTCCTTTTCACTTGAATTTTGTATCCACAGCTTAAGATGAGAAATTTAAAATTTCTATCAGCTGACGTTCTTTTACTGCATATTATATCTATTCAATCGCCCCCAATTCACGTGGAAAAAAGGCAAGTAGAAAAACACTGAGCTTCGAGAAAAAGCCATGTTAAGGCTAATGTATTTACCATTCCTTAAATATTTATAATCAAGACCACTCGTTTAGGAGACCTTTTCTCAAAAGATCCACACGTGCAAATAATGCTGTTTTCCGTTCGAAATGTTTTTCTTCCTATTCAATTGAACAACTGACTTAGCGTTTAAGCCGAGAAAAAAATCACAATTATTGAAAAGGTCATAGACAGGCCTACACAGACTCCCCTGTGTGGTTTTACGTTTGCGACGCAAAAGCCTTTAATTAAAGCTTCGCTCTGACGAGTATGTCTTTGAGCGATTTACCTCTTTTGTATGATATAATCGGAGGCGTTTTGTAAATTGTTTTCAGCAGTGGCTGATTTTGGATGAGGTTCCATTCTTGCATTAGTATTTGTTTTAAATTTTTTAACCCCTGAGTGGTATGCTGTCACAAAAGGCAATATTTTGCCTTTAGTTTTTTTTGGTTTGTTTTTTAAGTGTCGACTGCCTTGCGGCAAACGAGACCTCAGATAACGTTTTTTCAATTAGGCTTTTTGGGTAACCACGTGCTTCAAGTCGTGTTTTGAAGTTACACATGGCCTCCTGGAAATTTCTTTCCGAGGAGTTTGTTCTTAGAAGTCTGATAGCTTCTCCTTTAATAAAGCCTTTCTTAACACCTGGCGGGTGGCAGGATGAATAGTGTGTATATTGAAAGGTCTCGGTCGGTTTGTAGTGAGTTTTGACGTCGAGGATAGCTTCGTTTTGGAATCTTTCACCTTTGTAGACAACCGTGTCTAAGAATGTGATTTCAGTCTCTGAGATTTCAGCCGTGAACTTTATAGTTGGATGGAACGTGTTAGCTTGTTCTATGAATAGATCAATGTCTTGTTTACGAACATCCCACAGGGAGAAAACGTCGTCAATGTAACGCTTCCATACTCTCGGCTTGATACTGCTTTGGTGAAGCAGTTTTGTTTCAATTTCTGCCATAAAGAGATTGGCGAAAGCAACCGCCATTCGTGTTCCCATGGCAGTTCCAAAACATTGGAGATAGTTTACTCCGTTGAACTGGAACGAATTTTCTTTCAGTATAAGCCCGAGCATTTGTTTTAAGTAGTGGGACGGAATGGGAGGGCTGTTATTGTGGTACTTTTCGTATGCTTGGCATACTATTGTGATACCCTCTTCTTGTGGGATGTTTGTGTACAAGCTTGTTGCATCCATTGATACTAAAATAGTATCATTTGACACTTGCGTTTTCTCTATAAAGTTGATGAAATCAGTCGTATCTTTGAGATACGATTTTTGCTTTTAAGCAATAGGCTGTAATAAATGATCCACAAAGGATGACATCCTTTCAGTTGGTCCTTCGCAGCCCGATATAATCGGTCTACCCACTGGCAAAGGTTTGTGGATTTTTGTTAAAGTGTAGAAAATCGGTATTCTGGGCGGATTGGGAGTCTGTGAATGCCACTTTTTTGTCATATCGTCTATATGTTTGCCATTGTGCAGTTGAGCAATAAGCTAATTAACTTTTTTTTAATGTGTCAGTGACCATGGGGTTTTCAAGAGGTCGGTAGTGGTCTCTGTTGTCGAGCTGAACCTGGGCCTCTTGAATTTTGTCCCTCTTGTTGAGAATCACTATTGTGGTGCCTTTGTCAGCACGTTTAAGGTTGATGGCAGTATTGTTTTGCAGTTCTTTGACTGCTTTGTGTTCGTTGTATGACAGGTTGTGTTTTGGCTTTGTTATTTCTATTTCAGCAAGGCTTAACTTGATATTTTCGAAGTAGCGTTCAAGGGCAATAGAAGGTTGTACTGGTGGTATCCAGTTTGATTTGACGTGGAAAGGATGTGGTTCCTTGTCATTCCCGTGGAATATATATCTAAGTCTCATTCGCCTAGCGAATTGTTCGAAGTCACGCAACAATTGTTGCCTGATCTTATTTTCATTTGTCACGGGTGTTTCAATAAATTTAAGCCCTTTTGCTAACACGCTGACTTGGTGATCAGTTAATGTATTTTCTGAAAGGTTTTTAAGGTATTTTTCATTTTTCTCCCTTTCTGTAGTCACTCGCTTGTGTAGTGTATTTTTTCTACGCTTTTTGCGTTTATTATTCTTGGATAGCCTTTTTGCTGCAGTGGGTTTGGCGACTGATTTTTCAGAGGTGACACTGTTGTACTTTTCAACATGTTTATTATCACTCTGAAAGCGTGTACATATAAGATCTTTCAGCACTGAAAGCTGATTTTCTATTTTGTCTATCCTGTCGGCATCAGTATTTACAGTGTTCCTCAAGGGCGAACGTGATCTTTCACGTGTATTTACATTGTATTGTGATCGAGACTTGGCAATGTTAGCCTTTTCAAGTTTGTTCTTGTGACTAACAAGTCTACGCTGATGGAAGCGCACTAGGGCGCTAACGTATTGTTCTTCGGCGTGACTTTTAATAGCGCTTATTTCCTGTCGAAAGGTTTCGTCAGGCGTGACGTTTGCCTTCGCCTTGTATTGAAGCGACTTAGGGCAAGTCTTTTGTTGTAAGTGTCTCTCCAGTTTTAAAATGGAGGTTTCAGTTTTTTGCTTCTTGAACTGGATAGCGCTGATGGTGTCTTCATGTTTCCTCTTCCTTGGCTGCCGCGTGGATCGGCTATTCCTCGGAAGGTTTTCTTTTTGACGGCTTTCTTTTTGAAGGCGTAGACCTTCGTTGCTGCGTTGTTTGGCTAATTCAGCTTTATGCCTTGGCTCGAGTTGTGATGCTGGAGGGCTATCCTCTGGGTCCGATTCTAGGTTCGGATCAGTATACGTTAATTCCATCTCCTCGTCCAGATTTGGACGGTAGTCTGGCGTTTTTGGTGGCCGCAATGGTGTTTCAAAAGCTGACATCTTTTTCAGGTAAAACTGAAAGTGAAGTATATCGTCTACCAGGACCGGCGGTTTCGATTCTTAAAGAATCTCTTCAGCTGCTTTGTTAAGTCAGGCTGTGTTAATCAGGGACAGGCAGAGAAATTCTCAATTCCAATCCCGCCAAAAAGGGTGGAAAACCATCCTTTTATACTTGGGTTACCTGCCGTTAGGATCAACGGTGTTCCGTTTTCATTGGTTCTCTCTGGAAAGAGAGTAACCAATCATGTGTTGGTATTTTCGATCCGCGCTTTTTCAAAGCTCAGAGGTGTGTTTCTTTGTGAGGCTTTTTTTCGCATTATACGCCGCAAAGGCGTTTTAATGTCGCTTTTTTGTATTTTATCTATCTTCGTACTGTATGTAGAACCAACTTGTTGTTCTGGGTCTGTAATAAAAGTGTTATGTGCCGCAAATGATGCGGTTTTGTACTTGGAATATTGTACAATTGTACGGAGTGTGATGTCACGCAGGGGACGGGGCCTGCCTGGAAAATATCACAGATTGAAAAGGTCATAGACAGGCCTACACAGACTCCCCTGTGTGGTTTCACGTTTTAACGTTTGTTTATATCAAACAAAAGAGGTAAATCGCTCAAAGACATACTCGTCAGAGCGAAGCTTTAATTAAAGGCTTTTGCGTCGCAAACGTAAAACCACACAGGGGAGTCTGTGCAGGCCTGTCTATGACCTTTTCAATTTGGTTAACGTATTGTGAGCGGTGCTGTAGCTTCAAAACCATGGGCTAAAATGTGACCCAAGTAAATCTTAAACCAGGGTTAGGTTTGTGAACTGTAGTGTTTCATCTTGTGTTTCATACATTCACTCTGCTGGTGTAACTAGGTGCACATGTATGTCATGCCCTGCATTTTATTAAAGCCAGTGTCCAAATACTTTGAATTAGACCCCAGGCCTTTGCATTTTATGCTTCAATGGTCCACCTTCTGGCTTGAGAAAATATTTAAACCCTTTGTTGCCTGAGAATGGGCACAAGATGCTATTACATGCTCAGTATATAATCATAGTTTCTGAAATTTTCACAACTCAAAGGTCATTGAAAGTTAAAAGTTCTGAAAGTAAAAAAAATGTATTTTTATTAGAATCAATTGGCCAGGTCTGAATTAATTGTGATGAGCAGAATACATTACAATATAATGTTTGCTTATTATATATGCTAGAAAAAGGTAAAAAATAATTTTTCTTTGAAAGTATTGCATAAGAAATTTTCATGGGTTTCATTTCAAAAGATATGTTGCTCTTGCTTGGATTATGCTGTCAAGATCACAATACAGAATGTATACATAACCAACAGTAAGAAAATGTTCACTCTCTTTGTGTGTGATCCTGTTACATGTAATGTGGTTATTTTATAAGGAAAATGTCATTGTGGCTTATGAGCAGTCAAAAGTAGCGGGGTACCTCTTTTGACCAAACATAAGCTCTTTGGAGTTTCCTGTTGCTTGATTACAAGAGAGATTTAGGCTTCCACGCCCTTCTGGCGGCAGTAGTTTTGATGGGGTATTATGACATACTTTCTAAAAACTTCCTTCCTCTTTTAACTTACGACCCTGCTCTAGAATTGGCTTGTAATGCTTCTATTGCTGGTGTAAACCAATGCTAAGGGAACTCAGTATTAAAATGATATGAATTTGTTATATATTACAATTAACCACAATGTTGTTTAGGTCCTGGATAAAAATCTTGTGGCAAATTATGATCCATATATTAATTAATATGTTAAATTAATTCCCTAAAGTGAAAACACTGACAAGCAAAATTTTAAAAATTGTTGTCAGTATTTAACTGCATTAAATTTTGAATTAAATTTTTTATCATTTTCATTCCTGTGTTCTATTGAGCAACATTTTGAGTGGTTCAATGGTGAAATACTATTAATAACTTTCACATAAATTGTTATGTGATTTTATTTTTTCAGGAATCTCTGATCCCAAAGACTTCATTCCTTCAGCTGGCTCCTTGTCTGACCAATCAGCCGGCTTTTGGAATACCACTGTGACATCACCAAAATGTGATCAACAAAGGATTGCAAATGGTGTGTGAGGGAGCTCAGGTAACCATAAGGCTGTCAAATAATAATTATTATTATCCTATGAGTATGAACTGAAGATACCTGGAGTATTGTAATTTTTAATTATCATTATATATACAGCGCAGATTTGATGATAAGTTTATAATATTTAAATCAATAAACTTCTATAGAGGCACGATTATATGGGTATATTATTCCTTCAGAGCGCAAAAACAATCCCTGATACTCTAAAGATGACAGGTTTCTTTAACCCTTTAAACCCTAAGAGTGACAAGCATCTAATTTCTCCCTATAATATCACCCCTGGATCACACATCAAGGTCATGAGAATGAAGGAAATGATTATTAATTAAAGAAAAGGTTTTGATCATCAAACAAAATCTCCTTGTCAGCACCTTAGGAAATGTGTAAAGAAAGTATGGAGAATGTGCATTATGACACTTGGGTGTAAAGGATTAAATAGTGTTGAAGGAGTCAAACTGATTAGTAGAGTGGAGATGTCCATCGAAGGGTCTTACTCCTCTTTCCAGTACATGTCTAAGAGAAACAATTACACAATTGTAATGTTTCTTTCAGAAAACGCGCAGGTACACCTGATTACTCCATCTTTGTATTTTGGATCATGGCATCAGCTACTCCTTCACCTCTTGCCAGTTCTGTAGAGAAGACAAATGGAGCCAAGCTCAGCCGACTTCTCATCGATGGTGGAACAACAGTTCTCAGGAACGTTTTCAATGGATATCATCCCCCAGCAAGTCTTTCAGCCACGTTGATTGCAAACTATTCAACTCTGAATACTCTCTTAAAGAAACGAATTTTACACAGATCACAATGGGATCTATTGTTTCCTCCAAGCGGTGCTCCTCCAGACTCCCAAACATTTGATATCACTCTTTTATTCCTTCTCTTAACCACCGTTTGTGGTCTCTCCCCACCCCCCTCTAAGTGGCACAAAAAACCACCTCCAAATGACAATTCCCTTGAAGCAAATCTTGCTCGCATAAAGTTTTACCGCAATAAAATGTATGGCCATGTTACCACAACTGGTATGGCTGATCCAACTTTCTCAACTCTGTGGCATGAGATCAGTGTTGTCCTTGTTGCTCTTGGCTTGCGGCAGGCAGAAATTGATAGATTGAAGGCTGAGCATTGTGGAGAGCAAGAGTTCTTAGACGCGTTGCTTGAGTGGACTGATTCTGAGGAAGATATAAAATCACAGCTGAAGGACATACGGGATACTGAGACCAAAGTGCTGCAAACTGTTGATGAAGTACGGCAGATTCAGTCATCTGATCACGAAACTATTCGTGAAAGTAAAGCAAAGCTGGTAGAAGTTCATCAGTTGCAGAAGAACTTGCAAGAATCTGTCAGTGTTGTTCATCAGAATCAACTTCAAGACAGTAAAGCCATTCAAGATACCAAGTTAACAGTTGAAAAAGTCTCCGAGAAACTTCAAACTTTGGAGGAGGCATCCCAGCACACCATTCAAAATTTGAATGACGAGAATGAGAGCATCAGGGATGACAAAGTCCTTGCGAAACTAGCAAAGGTGGACAATTTAGCTGAAATAAGACGCCATGCAAGCAGATATGTTGAGGGAACTCGTTTATCGATTCTTAAAGAAGTCGAGAGGTGGTTAGCCGACAAAAGTTCTCCAAATAGAGTGATTGTTATCAGCGGGAATGCTGGAATGGGAAAGTCTGTAATCTCAGCTGTCTTGTGCCAAAAGATGTTAGAGGCTGGACGATTGTCAGGGAGCCACTTCTGTCGGCATAACATGGCACGGCGAAGGAATCCCAAAGTGATGCTGCAGTCGTTAGCCTGTCAGCTTTCCGAATCGCTGCCAGAGTACAGGAAGGCTCTCGTGAAGAAGTTGTCGAGAAATGTGGGCGTTGAAATTGGAGACATGGAAGTGGAAGAACTGTTTGAATTCTTGTTTAAGGAACCTCTTTCAGATTTGAAAGATCCAGACTCTATCCATCTCATGGTTATAGATGGCTTAGACGAAAGTGAATACCAGGGGCGTAATGAGCTTTTAAATGTGACTGCGGATTACTTCAAGACGCTTCCGTGTTGGATACGATTTGTGGTAACAACGCGACCTGAAATGAATATCTTAGAGAAGATTCAAGACCTAAATCCAATACAGCTGAACCCAAACGATCAAGAAAACTTGATGGACGTTAGGCTTTGCTTTCAAGAGCAACTGGAACATGTTCTGCAATCGGATTGCCAAGATACCATCTTAGAAAAGCTTGTTGAAAAGTCAGAAGGGGTCATGTTATATACCTATTACCTGGCAGAGTTCATTAAGAAGAATGCTGTGCGTATGAGTGCTGCTGAAGTGATCAACAGCGACTTGCCATCAGGTATTTCGTCCGTTTATCAAGACTACTTCAAACGCCTGAAAAATGAAATGCAGAAAGAACTAGGTATCACCGAAGAGCAGTTCTTCGATTTTTTAAATGCCATGGTGGCAGCAAGAGAACCATTACCTGTCGAGTTTGTCTACAAGTTGTTCCTTTCAAAAGAATGGTCATCGGCTGATGAGCAAAAAGTACGAGACGCAGTTGATTGTATCTCGGCTCTTCTACCCATTGAGGGCGAGTGCATTAACTTCTTTCACAAGTCAGTCAAGGACTGGTTGGTTGAGGAGTCTACTTCGAGGCAAAAGAAGTTTATTGTTAGCGGAAAAGAATGTCATCGCGTCATTGCAAAGCTTTGCAGAGATGAACTAGATGAATTGAAACTTAAAGGGATCCAGAGTTCAACACTGAAACAGACGTCGAGGTATGCCTTGCAGCATGGTGTTCAGCATGTACTTGAGGTAGAAGAGAATGCTTGTCCATGTAGCCTGGACGACATTGTAAAGAATTATGTTTTGGACCTAGAATTGGTCTATGCAAAGCTAACTGTGAAGAGTACAGCAGCCACTGAAGATGTTCTTTGCGTACAAGAGAAGGAAAATACAAATGGTTTGTCAAAGAATTGCAGGGAAGTCCTTGAGACGTTATTGTTGCTATTGCGGAAGCATTTAAGTACTCTTTCAAAAATTCCTCACGCCATCTTTCAAGTCTTGTTGAATGAAGGAGGACCTGAACTGTCTGCGAAGGCATTAAGCTTGCTAAACACCAAGTATACGGACTTACCATACATGGAATATTTGCGAAAGAAGGAGGAAAGAACAGATGTTCTACTGCGGTTTTTTGCTTCAGATGAGGTGATCTGCTTTGATGTCTCACCAAATCAGGACTACCTGGTATGCGAGTGTTCGAATGACACAATTCATCTGTGGTCGCTCCGTACTGGCCAGCTAATGTGGACACGCTCTGCGCTGGTATCAAACATTGATTTTCAGGATCACCTAGGGAACGCATGGGATTTCCTTTTCCCATTTTACCGGTCAGTAGTTTTCCATCCAACCTTAGACCTGATCTTACAAGGGACTCTGTGTCAGGGTTATACCTTGGTCGGAGACGTGAAACCTCTTTTCCGTTCGAGCGAGTGCCGGTTCCTAGTTTGTTCAATATCTGGTGACAAAAGCACGATGCTGACTGACTGTCTGGACGGAAGGAATTGCGTCATCCAGTGGAGTCTAAAAGATGGAAGTGAAATCAGTCGTTTTACACACAAATGCGAAATTTTCTCTTTTGCTTGGTCTGCTAGTGGAAGACGGATGGTGATCGTCGATTCTGACAAGTGCGCATACCTCATTGACATGAATGATGGAGTTGAGACTCTAATATGTCCTTCAGTCTGGTTACCATATGTTAAGTTAACTCCTGACTGCCGTTTTTTTTTCTGTTTACTTTCGGATGAGAATGAACATGATTGGGATTCGGAGCCCAAGCTTTTTTGTTTAGATATTGACAGGAACACTAAGTCAACATATAGTTTGGATTGCATTTTTGGGACGAGTTCCTACCAGTACGCCTCGGAATTTGAAACTTGCAATGAGAGTGGTTTCTTATCAGGAGATCCCTTTTGGTTTTCAGATACAAAAAGATTCCCAACTGTGGATTTTGCACTTGTACTAGAAAAGCAGATGTTACTAAGAGTTTCCCCTCACAGTAAAGTGATTGAAATGTGTCGCCTTAATGACGTAAGGGAGTGGAGATGTGAGAGTGGCGATGAAGCGGGACAAAGCATAGAACCCGGTGACATTACGACAGAGAGAGCCGAAAATAACGATCTAACGGAACATAACCTACCAGAAATCAACAATATGCCGGAAAACGGTTTTGTTCAAATTGATTACTTTGAATCAGCAGTTAGGGTTTATTTCTCTGTTGATGGTGACTCTCTTTATACTGTGACAGGTGGAGGGATCCAGATAATAAATCTTGTGGCTGGCGATGTTTTAAGTAAAAGGATTAGAAAAAAGGAATGTATGATTCTTGCACGGTCTGTACGTGTTGTGCCCGTCAAAAGAGGTGTCCTATTTCAAACAAATAGAGGCTCGCTTGAGTTGTGGAACTCTGAGTTGTCTGTTTGCATGAAAAGGTGGACTGTGTTTCCTATCTATGATGTTGTACCCTTATCAGAGGAACGAGTCGCCTTGGCAACGGAGAATGACTTTGATGAGAGACAGGAAGTCACCATTCTAGATACAACGAGTGAAAAAATTGTGTCAAAGATTTCAAATTTTGAAGGTGAATTTTTGGCATGTAATAATAAATGGGAAGTGCTAACCACCACTGATGGAGAGTCACTGCAGCTGTGGCGTGAAAACCGAGTGCTTTGGGAAACTTCAAATATGTTCATTCCATTTGGCCTTCCAAGTGCTATTTTTTCTCCTACTGAAGAAAACGTCGTCACTTATGGTGTAACTGGCTCTTACGTCCTCGACGCAGTTTCGGGAAAAGTGATTCGTCAATTGGAGAACATGGTTGTAGGTGATATTAAGTTTATCAGTAACGAGGACTGCATTGTGGGCTTGAATGATTCAAGAGGTTTCTGTCTTCGATTATACAACGTTAAATCTGGTGATCTCCTCAGTGAAATTGTAGAAGAACGACTATTTCAAAGTTTTGCAGTTTGTCCTCGTAAGCGCTTGGTCGCAATTTGCTTCAGACACTCCGAGGACCCTTTTGAAATCATTCAAGCGAAGCTGCCAGGCGATAAAGAAAAGACAAACATCGAAAGGTCAGTTGAAACAAAGTTTATTTGAAGACAGAAAAAGAATAATGTGGATAATAATATAATGTTAATAGTATTAATAGTAGTAAGAATAACAATGATACTTAATAATAATGTGATAATGATAACAATAATGATTGTACATGTAATAATAACGATAACAGTGGTAGTAAGAAAAGTTATGATGATAATTATAACTATGATGATACTAATGATAAATAATGGTAATAGAACAGAGTGGAGTCCACTTCGGTCTGTAATCATACGAGAGATTAGCAAAATCGGACGACCGCAAAGCAGGAGTCCGATTTGTCAATCACGAGTGTGATTACAGACACAATTGGACAACACAAAGTCCTATATCAATTTATCATAACCGTTACAATTTCCGAGGACAAAAAACACATTGAGGACAAATATCTCCGGTAGAGACAATTTCTGAAATGAAAAATTTCTCAATTTTGGAAATTCCACAGTTTTTTTAGTGTTAGTGGTTGTTGCTATGGTTGTTGTGATCAATTCTGTGATTGGTGGATTTGGCGGAAAGGACTCAGTATGATCGGACGCTTCAACTATCCGATCTCAGGTGTCCGATTACAGACAACTATCCGGTTAGAACTTTACAGAATGATTTATGAAAAATAACCACTGATCACTAGTTAATTTACTAAAAAATACTCTATTACTTGAGATGTTGCCTTTGACTTAACTTCTATTATTGAATTTTTACCTTAGGTTGAACCTCCCAAAGTAAGACATCTACAGAGATTTACAGTTTCGTTGCTGAATGGGAAAGACATTGTCAGAAAGGCTGTATCCCGCTGATTTCTTTGCATTCGAGTGGTTACGATCTTCTAGTCCCGACATCTGAACAGGAGAGACCGCTGATCGAGATGGGAGCGAGTACAAGAATGATTTCAGTGACAAAGCTGTTCAAGGTTTAAATTATATTTTTCTTGTAGAGACTTCATAAACATTTTTAACTGTTCCCAGCGTAAACTTAAGACAAATATTTAACGCTGTAACTCCCATGAGTGACCAAGACAGAATTTCTCCTTACGAAATCAATAGAATATCAACCAGATAAGTGATGGGAATAACGGAAAATCTCAATTTAGGGATAATTTATTGATCCAACACTAAATTCCCTGAACTAACTTTTTAAAAATTTCATGTTTGACTGTAAGGAGAATTACAAATTTGATCTGGGAGTTAAAGGGTTAACGATCTATCTTATTGCTCCTGTGGTGTTTCATCACCCAGCTACAAGCTAACAATTTGTTTTGTGGAAGCGGAGTGTTGTAAGCATTTCATTTAGTGTTGATTTGCAACTCGTTTAACTCGTGCGATTAATTTCTCGAGGAAAACGAAAAAGGTAATGACAAATTGTACAGTTCTCAGAAAGGCGTGAACTTCATTTTCTGCAAAATTACTTGTACAGCTTTAGACTGTTAGACAAGAAGAGAGAAATAGCTTCTGGTGCCACTGGTTATTCTCTCGTATTTTTCGTGTGAAAGAGGTACTTTCAACTGTGTGTAAATAAGAAACCAGCTGAATTTAAATCCATTTTATGTGTACATAGCTTATACCGGCCTGGTTGAAGATGGAACCAGAATGACCGCGAAGCAATCGTTTTCCAACATTTTCAGGAAAAAAGGATATTCAATGCGCTGATTTTTGCATACAAATTGGTTTGCGTATGTTCTTGAAATTTGAAGACATTGCTTAATTTTTGAAAATACTTTCTTTTGTCGGGAAGGTGGGCTGTAGTCACTCAAAGTGAAGTAGTTTTACAATAAAATTGAAACCAAGAAGGATTCAATGTCCAGTTGATGTGAAATTCTGTGGGCATAGCCCTAACCTCCAGTAGGTGGCTGTTAGTAGTCATTTGGTAAGGTGCGAGTCAGAGCATTGTTGCATAGTCAACCGCACCAGGGTGATGAGAGGCTGAAACGTGCTGACCCTTTTCTACTTCACCCAAATGGGTACGCTGGGCCCAAACACCTTGACTGCTTAAGCACATTAGTTCGACAGAATTATTCACTGAGCTTGCTTCTTTCCTGAAAAACATTTTTGATTTATTTATAAATGAAATTGCTCTTCTATAGCCTGTTATGACGTAAATTTGATACCTACTGGATCAGGAAATCTCCCTATCTAATTTCCTTACAATTGTAGATGAAAAAAAATTGAAAAGCAAACGAACATACGCAAAGCATATTTAGTGAAGTAAACTAGTCAAACCGCTTTTATCTCAGGAAACCTGATAAATTAAGAGTAGAAAAATCTTCACCCATTCCTAATTTGAATCACCTCGTGAAATTCTGCTCCTTCGTGGTGGAGAAGAAACAGGACACGTCACAATAGAACATCGCAATAACAACCTATTGCTTTTACTGGTTTCCTTGTTCTTTTGGGTTTTTTTTTCTTTTTGTTATCTATTGTTTTACGTCATCAGTGTCTTCTACACTAAGTAAGAACCTGATATCTAAGGGCCTCACCACACAATCCATGGCTTGGGCACTAACAGGAGGCCACCCTAACATCAGAATTTTTATATTCTCCATAATGTTCACTATTTATTTCCTGAGGTACTGATAAGGAGAATTTGTTTAACAATCAAGAGCTTCCTTAGTGATCATTTCCTTTATTCTATGTTAAGGGGTAAATTTTTAACTCTTTAATCCGCAAGAGGTACCTGCTTCTAATTTCTCCTTACAATATCACCCCTGAATCAAACGTAAAGGTTTCGAGAATTAAGGAAATGATCACCAACTAATAAAGCTCTTGATTTTAAAACAAATACTCCATGTCAGCGCTTCAGGAAATGTATAGAGAACAGTATGGACAATATGCATACTGATGTTTGGGTGTAAAGGATTGAGGAGAAATTACATTCCAATCGTTCTCAGGGGCTAAGGGTATTTAACTCTGTAATTAAAGCTGCTTGCCCAAAACATGTCAATTTGGTTTTCAACGTTTATAAAATGCATTACATAGGTTCGCATATTCCCTGTTATAGACCAACATATTTAGCTTTCCAAACGACCTAATTCAAAGCTACATGGGAGCCTCGCTAGTCCAAGATTTTCCCTCTATTTCCATCTCTAATACTGAGGAGGAATATTACCAGATACGTAAAAAGGAGGGCGTGGCTTCTAAATTATCGCCAGGTTTTGCTAAAGCTAAGATTTTTTAAGGCTGTGCTGTTGCTACTGCATGTGGAATGAGCTTAAAATGTTTGCAAGAAAGTGACTACATAGACGTACTAGCAAGCTGGAATGGTCGTGTGAGAAGAAAATACACGAAATCAAAGTGCTCTGTGAGCAAACTCGTGAATTGACAGATGACTTTCATGATTTTTGGATTATGTTTAATGTTATCTGGTTTAGGGAATTTTGTGGCTGATTGTCATGTTTAGAGTACGAGCAGTAGTTCAGTGTTTGCTAATGTAGCAAAGAAACAAAGTAACGTTGGGATAAGAAGGCATTACAACTGAAATGATCCATGCTATGACATTTGACAAGGGTGAATGATGTCATGTGTTTTAAATATATATCATTTTTGTTTCTGGTTCAAAAGAAAAGATTGGAAGTAAATGTGGGGGAAAAGTGAAATTTATTGTCTATCATTGTAATATTGGAAAATCAAGGCAATACTGTCTTAATGAAAAAATTAATGATTCCCTCTTTATCAAATGAGACATAAGGGAACGAGTGATATAACTAAGCCCAGACTGCCACCGTCATTTTGGATTTCTGCCTGGGTAGATTTTGGTCACGTGCTAGGCAACGTATAATCGAGAAGAAGATAGAATTTAATTTCAGGCCTATTTATCAATTTTGTGGTGTATAACTTTCGCATTTTAGTACGTAATATTTGTTTTTAATCTTCAAATTGTCTTGAAACTTAAAAGAAAATCGTTCTTTAAAAATTCACTGAAAATCGGTAGCCAAAATTGTTTGTTTAGGTGTTATTTGAGTTTCGTGTCAACCTGTAATTTCGTCAGTCGCCGGCACCTTTTGTTGCTTCACACAGAAAAACCACACGATACGAAATGTAATGATCGATTTTGTCCCCAATCTCACGCCATAACAGAAAAAGCCTTTGAACACCTGTAAACTCTGCATCGGAGTAAGTGATATTTTTAATGAATCTTCGGATTGTTTTCAAGTTCAAAGATTGTAAATTACAATTTTATGAAAAACGAAAGTTGTCCTCTTATTTCAGTGTGAATCCTCTCACGCCTGCCAGACGCTGGCGCCGCTTGTTGAAACTTAAACGAAAAAAAAATAAACTCTTTTAAGATTATCATTGGCTTCTTTTTCACCCCACCACTATTATTTCAGAGACCGCGCAGCAAGTTTTCGAGTGGGGGGGCTAAAGAAGAATGCGTGAAGGAAAATTTTTTTGTTAAATTAGTTTTTGTTTAATTTATTTTTATTCTTGCAAAAAAGTGGGGGGGGGGGGGGGGGAGGGGCTAAAGCCCCCACAGCCCCTCCCTCTGCGCGGTCCCTGCATTTAGCAACAAAGGTCGCCATTTCGTTTGTTTATTACTCGCCAAATACTATCAAATGCACTCAAAAGCCTAAAATTGAAAAAAAGTTTACAGGAATCGACCAATCGAGCGAGCGAGCGAGCGAGTGCCATTCTCCACATCACATCTACAACTCGCTCTTGCGCATGCAAGCAATTCACGAATTAAAAATGATTGTTCACTCGAGATCTCAACGTTGCAATACCGGTATCTCGCTGAGCCCAAGGCTGATAAATTGTTGCTTATTTCACGTTTCGGTTAGCCCAGCTCAAGTAATCACCTTGTGATTCCACAATCCCCTAGGGAAAGTTGCTTAAACTAGTTGGTGTTGGCAGGAGGCTCCTGGTTTTGATATTTTCCCAGTCTCCTTTGGTCTCGTCACGCAATGTTTCGTGACGATACCAAACAAGTCCGTTCCAGACTCCCACGGGTACACGTCGTGCGGTTCAATGATGTTTCTGATATTGCTTATCTACAAGATGAGTTTATCTTTATAACTTCCTGTGGGTTACCGTTGTTTTCGGCTGAAGAGCGAAGGATCTGTGGTGATGGCCAATAAATAAGCAGATTAACACGGATTAAACCTTTTGAAGTGTTTTAATTCACTGCACACAACTTTTACAACACGCCATGCTTTCCGCTACTCGAGATGCAACTCGAACCTACATTACACCATGTATGCGGCACGAAATGTCTCAATAGCCTAAACACTACATTCCCTTCCTTTGTCGCAATTAATTGCAGTTAATTGAGTTCAAGAAAAATGTCTTTATACCGAGCAACAACAATATCAAATACTCATAAACAATATGAGGGTTCAAACTGCAAACTGTTCTGAACAAAATCATGTTCAGTGAAAAGTCTAAAAAGTTCAAACAAGTCAGTTCATTTGTCCAGGACAAAGTCTTTAAATCTTCCAGGCAATTTCGTAGCACGGGTTGGTCTGCTTCTTGTCTCTGCCGTACTTGAGGTTGTGCTAGACTCAGGCATTGCTGGAGCTGGGCTTGGGGGGTTTGCTTCTCTGGAACTCTGTTCAGGAGGAGAAGACTCTGGCTCTCCAGGGGTGTTGTAAGGTTTGACAAAAGAGCTGTTTCTCCTATACAAGGTGCCATTGTCTGCTTTCAAGGTGAGTTCTTGTCCTTCCTTGGTCTGGACGGTGTATGGCTGAGGTTCAAACTTTGGAGCCAGCTTACCAGGTGATTTGGTGTTTTTAACCAGAACCTTGTCACCAGGGACTACTGGGTTGAAAGTTGCATTCCTTTGCTTGTCAGCATAGAACTTACTAGACAATTTGTGGTTCCAGTCTCGGTCTCTGATGCTTTCATCCAGCAGGCTCTTGTTGGGGCGTAATTCAGGCAGTTTTGTTTTCAACTCTCTTCCGAACATTAGAGATGCTGGGGTCATCCCAGTGGTAGAGTGAGGAGTTGTTCGGTACGCCAACAGGAACTTGTTCAGCTCATCTTTCCACCTCTTTCCTTCCACTTGGGCTATCTTGAGCACTTTAAGCAAGGTTCGGTTTTGTCGTTCAACCTCACCATTGGCTTGGGGCCAAAGTGGAGGAGATTTTCGATGCTCGATGCCATTCTTAGACAGGAACTCTTCGAATTCTTCCGATACAAACTGAGCTGCATTGTCAGACTTGAGGGTAAATGGATAGCCGTAACGTACAAAGATCGGTGTTAGTGCTTCTATCATCTTCTGTGATGTGGTTGACCGCATAATTACCACTTCAAAGAAACGGCTGTAGTAGTCTACTACTACAAGTAAACTCTCTCCAGAAGGAAGTGGACCCAACACATCAATAGCTACATCTTGCCAGGGTCCTGTTGGTGGTTCTACTCTCTGCATTGGTTCAGGTGTACAGAATCCACTCACTACTTGACATCCGTGACAGCTTTTACAGATTCGCTCAGCATCAGTGTCCATTTTAGGCCACCACACTTTGGTTCTGAGTCGGCTCTTCATCTTGACTATGCCTTGATGACCTTCATGGGCTAAATGTAAGACTTGTTTTCTCAGGCTCTGGGGTATGACAATTCTTGTACCACGCAACACCAGTTTTCCAAGCACACACAGTTCATTCTTCACACACAGGAAATGGGGCATTTTGCACTGAGACCAGTCTCCACTCTGAATGTAATGTCTCACGCTGGTCAGTTCAGGGTCTTCTTCTGATGCACGTTCTACTTCTTTCGCTGTTAACACCACAGGTGTGCTCTCTTCTGCAATCATTTTCACTGCATCTGTTTCCTCTCCACTTCTGTCCTTTTGGTCCAGGGAGTTAAGTCTTGACAGGGCGTCTGCAATGTTGGTTTTTCCAGGACGATACACAACTTGGAAGTTGTAGCTTTGCAGGCGGAGCACCCATCGTTCGATTCTTGCAGATGGCTTGGATGTACTCTTGTAAATACATTCCAGAGGTTTATGGTCAGTCTCAAGTTCAAAGTCACGACCGTAAACATACAGATTAAATCTTTCGCAGGCCCACACTAAGGCAAGTGCCTCCTTCTCGGTTTGAGAATATCGCCTTTCGACGTCGGTTAGGTTCCTGGACGCATAAGAAATCACTCTCCAGACTCCATCTTGGAATTGTGTTAGGACTGCTCCGATACCAGTAGGACCTGCATCTGCGACAATACGGGTTTTGCAATCATTCTTGAAGTATGCCAGTGTTTCTGCTCGTGTCAAGAGATACTTGAGCTTCTCAAAAGACTGTTGCTGAACTTCTTTCCATACGAATGGCTCGTCTTTTCTAGTCAGCTGTCTGATAGGCTCAGCTTCCTGTGCAAAATTTGGCAGGAATTTAGCACAGTACTGTACAAGGCCTAGGAAAGATCTGACTTCAGCCACATTCTTTGGAGGTTTCGCATTCTGAACTGCTGCTACCTTTTCTTCACTGGGTGTAACTCCACTCTTGCTCAGGTCATGTCCGAAGAAGGTCAACTTGGGAAGTCTGAACTGGCACTTGTTTGGATTCAGGGTTAGTCCACACTGTCTGAGGCGATCTAGAACAGCCAGCAAATTCTTGTCATGCTGCTCAATTCCACATCCATGTACGATCACATCATCTGCAATATTTGCAACACCTTCACAACCTTGCAGAACATCACTCACAATCTTCTGATACTTTTCTGGGGCTGACGTAATGCCGAACATTAGTCTCTTGTATCTGTAAAGGCCTCTGTGTGTCACAAACGTAGTAATTTGACGGGACTCTTCATCAAGCTCAATCTGGTGGAATCCCCAGCGCAGATCTAGTTTGCTGAATACAGTTGAACCATTAAGGTCATGGAGAACTTCTTCTATGGTAGGAATAGGATGCCTCTCTCTCTCGATGGCCCCATTCGCTCTTCTCATGTCAACACAAATACGGATATCACCATCTGGTTTTGGCACGACGACAAGAGGTGACGTCCACTCTGTAGGACCACATGGTACTTCCTCTATGATGTCTTCTTGCAACAACTCATCCAATTTCTTGTCTACTTTGTCTCTAAGACCAAAGGGTAATCGTCTCACTGGCTGGGCCACAGGCTTGACATTCTTGTTAATGTGCAACTTGAGTTGGAAGTCTTTAAGCTTTCCAACACCTTGAAATATGTCAGCAAAGTCCTTTAACACATCTCCAGCATCACCTTCGCTGGTGATGGTACATGCCAGTGGTGTACTCGGAGGTCCAACTCTCAATACATTCAGCTTCTCTGCAGTGTATTTTCCAAGCAAAGTTTTTCCAGGACCTTTAACAACAGTGAACTCGTCCAAACAGCTTTTTGCAGAATCTTCACAGTAAATTTCAGCTTCAAATGTTCCCAGTACTTCAATTGGTTCAGTTTGACCATAGGCAAATAGCTTCTTGCTGCATTTCTGGGATGTGCACTTCACTCCTTGTTGCTTCAAACTTTCCCACGTAGCTTTGTCCACAAGGTTGCATGATGCTCCAGAGTCAATAAGTACATCCTTTAACTCTACACCTCCCACTTTCAAATGTATGATGCCACTTGTCTTGTTTCCGTCATTCACGGCAAAGGCATAAGCATCTCTTTGATCTGAGCCTTCTTCCACTTGATATGCACCATTCACATTTGGATTATGTCGGCCACTTGGAGGGCGTTTAGGATTCTTTGTCTTGCAACAAACAGCCAGATGACCAGTGAATCCACACTTGTTACATGTTTTGTTCAGGGCAGGGCAACTGTGGGCAAAATGACCGGTTTCATTGCATCTGTAGCACTTCTGATGCTCTCCTGGTCTTACATCTTTCTTATCTGGTTTCTTCTTCTTTTTCATCTTGTTTTTTCGCCACTTGGGGTTAACAGGTCGCACTGCATTCACTTGATCATCTTTACTCGAAATCTCCAATGACTGCATTTGAAGGATGACAGACTCATGAACTCGTGCAACATCTTGAAGGACAGTAAGGGTTCCGTCCTGGGCTTTCTCCAAAAACTTCTTTCGGAGTTCCGGATCTCTGCACTTTTCAATCAACTGATCCCGGATAGCCTCATCCACTTTGTCAAACTCACACGAGACAGCTTTTTGTCGAAGGCGGCACACAAATTGATCGATAGTTTCGCTCTGGAGTTGTGCCATTTGTCGGAAACCGTGTCTCTCGAAAGGTACGTTCACTTTTGGCGTAAAATATTTGTCAAGGATGGCTACACAATTGTCGAAGTTGTTCTGAGCTTCGTCTTCTGGTGCAAGCGTGTAGAAAATTTCTTGCAGTTCCATCCCACCTGAGTGCAGTAATAGAGCCACTTTTTGCGCTTGATTCGTAATACCTTTCGATGCCACATACAAATGAAAAGCACGTTTCCAGCGTTTCCATCGAACGGAAAGAGTAGTCGGTTCTCCCTTGGGGTCGAAGCAAGGTAAACCACGAACTTCAAGAGTCTTTGGTTCGACGATCGAGTTCGGCGCTGGTTGTGGCGGCGTGTCGCTGGTTTCACCTCTCTCGGTGTCAGGCATGTCGCGAAATTCAATTTAAGGATCCACAAGAACCTTTATCCTGCTTTTTCCTGCTTTATCCTCGTCGCCAAATGTGGTGATGGCCAATAAGTAAGCAGATTAACACGGATTAAACCTTTTGAAGTGTTTTAATTCACTGCACACAACTTTTACAACACGCCATGCTTTCCGCTACTCGAGATGCAACTCGAACCTACATTACACCATGTATGCGGCACGAAATGTCTCAATAGCCTAAACACTACAGGATCCGTTGTCGTCAATGAGGTTAGTTTACAAAGAATTACGTGTAATCTGTCCACTTGCATGAATGTAACCGTATTTTCAAGCGTTTATTTGCACATACCGTATAAACCGCTTTCGGCGTTGATGACTCCGGTAGCGTAGCTTGGGTCATGCACGGGTACATCTGTTCAATACTTTTTTCCGCGACAATGTTTTTGTTTGATAGAGCGATTGCGTTAGGGGACCATGAAAATTTTTAGTATTTGCCTGAAGAGGATTGTCTGAACTCGCTGCAGTCGTGTGTTTACGTGCGTCCTCCGTACGGGGTTATTCATTTTAGTTAAAGTAGGAAAAAGCAGAAGAACTAGCATCTGTCATAGTTTCTTTGAAGTGCTTCCAAAACCACACTGGAGACAAGAATTGCACGATTGGAGCAGGATCAGTAATTTTTTAAATTCAAACTGCGCACAAGTTGTGTTTACCAAACGCAACAACATGAACAATTTTAATTTACTCCCAAGCGAATCCTTACTAGTAAATATATTCATGCAATGACAACATGAGACAGATGTGCTTGAATATTATTTCCAGCTACATACACCTGTCAGCTTTTTCGTCCTCTCTCATTCGTGGCAGCTCAATTTATCAAACTGATATTTCAGTATTCTATTGATTATATTGAATAAAACAGTTGCCACAATCCCTTATCTCAATTAAGTGCTGGTTGGGAGAAAATGTATTTTATTATTGGCCAGAGTGGTAGGGCTACAAAGAGCAATATTAGAGTTAAGTATCTACCACACAAGTGAAAAGTGCTTTTTGCATTCACTGATTGGCTTTAGTTCAGAAGTGAGTAGCAAGTACCATTCACCTTTGAGAGTGTCATTTCCGACCATTTTTGGGTATGACTGCCATGACTGCTTAATTTTGGTTGACCTCTTAAGACAGGTTCCACAGAGTACCTGTAATATTAAAAAAAGAATAATAAAACCTCACTTCATATACCATAATCCACCACTTAATGATCCAAAACTCCCTCAAAAATTGCAAGGTCAACTGAATTTCCTAACAGTAATGCCAAATTAAGAAAATCTTAACCCTTTCACTCCCATGGTCTCATCAGTAATCCTCTTTACTGTCTGCTATATAATAGTTTTGATGTTAATGTCATGATCACTCCTAGAAGTTAAAGGTTACCTGTGGTTTTAGGGCCAGAAATTTAACCAGAACCAACCATAAAAAACATAAACAATAAACCTCAAAGTGTATCATAAGAAATCTTTAATATTCTGCTCCTCAATGAAAATGAGAAACTTTGAAGTTTTGAATCCTCTTCTATTAACTACTTTCATTCAAATTTTTCATTCAAACTCTGTTAGAGTTATTCATTTCTTCTATTTTCTCACGACTTAAATTCATAGCCAGCCCTAATAATAGCTTCATGATGCATGTTTTCACTGCAGGATATATGATAAATTTTTATCAATTAAAATTTGTTTCAATTTATTCAGTCTCTCTCTTTCAATTTTAGGGAAAAAGTGTTATGATTGTTTCATTTATGTGAATATTAAGTAACCTCTATTAAATATGAATCTAAACATAGATAACTGAGAGGCCTGGACTGGGTACAGGCAAGATATATATATTTAGTATTTTCCCCTTTTTTTAAAGATTGAGCAATTTGTTCAGCATACAAGTCTTCAATTTAAGACTTAAATAGAGCCTATCCACCATGCTAATGCATTTTGATTGCAAAACTACTCTAGTATATTAGTGCTTAGATATCTGTGCATGTGCTATCAGTAATCAAGCAGGCAAGCCAGCAAAAAGTTTATTTCTAGCCTCTAAGAAAGTTTTAGTTTCTGTCCTGCCCACACCATTGAAAGTTTTGATTGTCTCTTAATCTTGTTTATGTTTGTAATTTATTCTTAATTGCTGGACTGTTGGTCTAGCCAGTGTATTTGTCAAATATCTTTTATGTAATAGTCTACTGTGTTATTTCAATAGGATACATTGCTATATACATTTAATAAACTGTCTGGTCCCAAAACAAGCCTCTGTCTGTTGTGGTGTTTAGTATTCCTGGAGCACAGAATAAGCAGGCAGTAAAATATAAATAGGCTTATGCTTGGATGCAGTTTTGAGAATACAAAGGATAACAATTTTGGGTGGTGACTGTAAATTAGCCATGAACTTGTTTGAGCCATTACACTATTTGTAGCATATTGTGTCGTTCCATGTCCAAAATATGAGTTTGACATGAAGAAATCTCAACAGAGATTTATTTACAGACAATATATGTAAACTTGGCTGTGTAGCCAACATGTGTTACATGAATACAAGACTGACAAGTGTGACAGCATGACAGTGGTTTCCAATAAAATGTTTAAATTTATTATCCCAATGATAAATATTTATCATGCATTTTACCATAGATGTAATTTCAATTATCTTCTGGGCATAACCTTCAAATGTCATATTCTCTGTTCTTTTAGTGTTCTTAGCTGACCCAACTGGCTGCAGCAGCTGTGCCTCCATGGTCCATTACTAGGATGTGACTGACTAAATGCTACAGATTTTGTGAATTTTTCAGCCCTAGTTTTACTCTGTTAATTTTGGGAAAATAAGAACGTGTACTAAACATAAGAAACTGGACCTTGAGCCTTGAGAAATTTTGAGAAGGTTTTGCAGTGATTAATTGTTTCTTAGGTAATTTTATTTTCCCAAAAGTACTCTTTTTCTCATGAGCAAGGCTTATTTCTCAGAATCTGCTTTTAATTTATTTTTTTCATGTTTTGTTATGGGAAGGTCTTTTCTTATAACTGGTTAGATGACTCATTCATGCTATCATATTAAAAAATAAGATCTATGATTGTCTTAAAGCCCACAACTTGCCAAGAAGCAGCAATTCATAATTGATCTACTGTAGGTGTTTTGGATTATCCTGACCTTGGTGAGGGCCTTGTATTTATTTTTCAGCCTACACATTAAAAGGAGTTTAAGTATGGACCTTTGATATAAAAGTGGGTTTTTGTAATCGTGCAAGCAAAACTCATTTTCACAAAGTTTTTTGCAGTTGGTCTCGTTTTGAAAGTGAGGCCTTGTACAACTCCTTTTTTCGTCATGTGACCACCTTGTGTAGAGTCACATGCATTGTGTATATATTTGTGATCAAGGAGATCACGAGGGCAATAAACTATTTTCACAATGCTATGGTAGACTGGCTTCAGCCAGGTTTTTAAGCCTGATTGGAAGAAATCTAATACACGTCTTTGAAATTAAGGACAAGGTTGTGAAAAATGACTTTTGTTTTTTCCAGATGAACTCAGAGTAAGCCGTCATGACTGAGACTTGATGGACACTTGATGACTCAATCTTTGTTTTCCGCATAAGATGGCATCAGCTACTCCTTCACCTCTAACCAGTTCGGTAGAGAAGACAAATGGAGCCAAGCTCAGCAGACTTCTCATCGATGGTGGAACAACAGTCCTGAGATGTATTTTCGATAGCTGTCATCCTCCAGCAAGTCTTTCGGCTTCCTTTACTGCAAACTATTCAACTCTGAATACTCTCTTAAGGAAACGAATTTTACACAGATCACAGTGGGATTTATTGTTTCCTCCAAGCGGTGCTCCTCCAGACTCCCAAACATTTGATATCACTCTTTTATTCCTTCTCTTAACCAACATTTGTGGTCTCTCCCCACCCCTCTCTGGGTGGCACACTAAACCAATTCCAAGTGACATCTCCCTTGAAGCAAATCTTGCTCGCATAAAGTTTTACCGCAATAAATTGTATGGCCATGTTACCACAACTGGTATTGCTGATCCAACTTTCTCAACTCTGTGGCAGGAGATCAGTGCTGTTCTTGTTGCTCTTGGCTTACAGCAGGCAGAAATCGATAGATTGAAGGCTGAGCGTTGTGGAGAGCAAGAGTTCTTAGATGCGTTGCTTGAGTGGGCTGATTCTGAGGAAGATATAAAATCACAGCTAAAAGAAATCCGTCGTGTCCAGACCAAGGTATACAAAATAGTCAGTGACGTACATAAGACCCAGCTACAAGATCACGAAGCTGTACAGAAAAATAATTCCAGGTTGGAATACATACGCCAGACCCAGCTGGAAGATCACCGAACTCTTCAAGATAGCAAAGCAAAGCTCGACGAAGCTCGTCGAACTCAGCTTGAAGACAGCAATACAATTCAAGATACACAATTAAAGGTGGACGAGGTATACGAAAGGTTGAAGACTTTGAAAAAAGAATTCCAGCAGAATATTGATGACTTGAAAGGCGAAAGAAAGAAGCAATGTGATGATGAAATTCTAAGGAGACTCGCAAAGGTCGACACTTTGCATGATGTAAGGCACCATGCAAACAGATATTTGAACGGGACTCGTTTGTCGATCTTTGCCGAAGTTGAGAGCTGGTTAGGTGATAAGGAATGTTCGAATCGTGTGATGGTAATCAGTGGAAATGCCGGAATGGGAAAGTCTGTTATATCTGCTGTCTTGTGCGAAAAGATGCTAAAAGCTGGAAGATTGTTAGGAAGCCATTTTTGTAAGCATAACATGGAGCGCCGAAGGAATCCGAAGGTGATGTTACAGTCCTTAGCCTGTCAGCTGTCTGATTCTCTGCCAGAATACAAGGCTGCTCTCGTCGACAAGCTGTCGAGAAATGTGGGTAATGAGATCAACAGTATGGAAGTGAGAGATTTGTTCGAATTGCTGTTTGAGGAACCTCTTTGCGGCTTGAACGACCCTGATTTAACCTATCTCATGGTAATGGATGGATTGGATGAAAGTGAATGCCAAGGACGCAATGACCTTTTAGACGTGATTGCCAATTACTTTAAGAAGCTCCCTCTTTGGATCAGATTTCTGATAACAACGCGACCTGAATTAAACATCGCAGACAGGCTGAAGTGTTTGCAGCCCTTGCACTTGGAGCCAAGTAACGAAGAGAACTTGAGTGATATCCACCATTGCTTCGAAAAAAAGCTAACTCACTTGTCGCAATATGGAAATCGGGAAATCCTGCTAAAAGAACTAGTTGCAAAGTCGGAGGGGATCATGCTTTATGCTCACTACCTGGTTGATTTTCTAAATAACAATGTTCCAATGACACATGAGCTGATGCAAAGCACCATGCCAGTAGGCATTTCGTCTGTTTACCAATGCTATTTTGAGCGTTTGGAGAAAGATTTACGTGAACAGTTGAAGATCACAGAAGACCAATTCCTGAATTTCCTGTGCGCTGTCGCGGCTGCGCGCGAACCTTTGCCCCTAGGCTTTGTATCAAAATTATTGCTGTCAGCGGGGAGTTCATCGTCAGCTAATCAACGGAAGCTAAGAAAAGCTATTACATGTATCTCGAACCTTCTTCCCATTGAAAATGAGTGCATCCACTTTTTTCACAAGTCCATCAAAGATTGGTTGATTGACAGCTCATGCTATGGGCATCACAATTTTACTTTGGTCAAAACAGAATGTCACAATATTCTTGCCCAACTTTGCATTGATGAACTTGATGAGCTGAAGCGAAAAGGTGTCCGCAGTGCACATTTCAGTGACACAGCAAAGTATGCGTTACAACATGGCGTTACACATATGTTTGAATTGAGTGAGGATGCAAGAGAATGTAGCCTCGAAGAAGTTGTAACAAAGTATGTGTTGGACTTGGAACTGGTGTACGCAAAGCTGTGTGTCAACTCCTCTGCGGCCTCGGAAGATATTGTTCGCGTTCTGAAGCGACAGCGTTTCATAAACAGAGATTCGTTTGACAAGTGCCATAGAATGAAAGAACTTAAAAGTTTGTTATTACAATTACGGAAACATAACAGTATGTTAACAGAATTTCCTCAGGCCCTGTTTCAAATCCTGTTGAATGACGGAGGACGTACATTATCGTATGAAGCACTAAACCTTTTGGAGACTAAATTTCCGGAATTCTCATACATGGAATATTTGCATAAGAACGATCAAGAAGAGCTTGTTCAAGCCAGATTTCAATGTTCAACCGAGGTAACTTGTTTAGACGTTTCACCTCAGCTAGATTTAATGGTTTGTCAGTGTAAAGATGACACGATTCACCTTTGGTCACTAGAAACTGGTAAGCTCTTATGGACTCGTTCTCAGCCTGTTCAAGAACCCTTAGACTATGTGTATCTTTCAAACGCCTTTAGATCGATTTCACCTGAAGCATCTGGCTGCTTATCATTTTACCGTTCTGTGTTGTTTCATCCTACTGAGCAACTTGTATTAGCAGGAATTCTTAGTTATGCCTATTCTTTCGACGGAATCCTCAAACCACTTTTTCCCTCAAGTAAGTGTTCCTTCTCAGTTTGTTCCGTGTCTTCAGGGAGAACGGCAATATTAACTGATTGTCCTGGCAACCCTAAATGTGTAATTATGTGGAGTCTCATTGATGGATCGGAAACCAGTCGTTTCATTGGCACCGATGATGTCTTATCTTTTGCTTGGTCTCGAGATGGGAATCTGTTGGCAATTTCTGATTCTATGGGATGTATAAGTTTGGTTGATACTCTGAATGGGTTTAATCTTTTGGTAAAGACACATACCTCGCACAAGAGGGGAATGATAAAGTTCTCCCAAGACTGTCGTTACCTTTTCGGAGCACACTTTTCCGTTCAACCGTATCTGAAACACCATCTTTTGTGTTTAGAGGTGAAAGTAAACGACACTGGTACTATGTCGTTAGATATTGTACCCGTCAAAATTTCCTATGACCCCTGGGAATACGAATCGTGTGCCGAGTCTGGTTTCGCGCTTGGGGATTCTATGTGGTATCCGTTTGAGAAATGCCCAGCCGATTGGTTCACGGAGTTTGCGTTGGTGCTCAATGAACAGTGCCTGTTAAGGGGTTCACCTGTAAGTGATGTCATTGAAATGTTGAGCATCGAGGAACGAACTAAATACAGATATGCAGTTTCTCAGACTGCCATGGAGAAAGTGGTATTTTCAGTTGATGGAAACACTCTTTATACAGTCACCCATCCTACTGGAAAAACACGAACCCTTCTGGCGTGGGACGCTTTGAATTTAACGTTAAAAGCCGAGAAAAGCGTTCATGCTGGTTTTAGGGACAACTGTACTCTAGTTGTTGTAAGGAAAGGTGTTTTACTCACAGCCTCGGATGGCGTTCTTGAACTGTGGAATGCCGAGTTGTCTGAGTGTGTCCAAAGATGGACTAATGTAGGGTTTATTAGGCGAGCATTCCATGTGACAGAAGAACGAGTTGCCTTGGAAAAGCTCAGCGGAAAGATAGAGAGCATTTTGGATACAACAGAGGAGGATATTGCGCCAATGACCTGTGGTGGAAAAGGTAAATTTGTTGCTTGCAATAGTAAAGGTCAGGTGGTAAGACTCGCCGATAAAAACTCACTGCAGTTACTTTGTGGCGACTGTGTACTCTGGCAAACGTCGTCACCTTGTGCCTTGTTCTTCTTCCATTACCATGGCACTTTTTCCCCATCCGAACGGTTGTTTGTGATTTTGGGCAGAGCCATACGTGGTTATAAATTTGATGGAGCCGTTTTTGTCTTTGATGCAGTTTCTGGAAAAGCAGTCCGCATGTTACCTGCTTATGACAACAGAAGTTATCCTCGAGTTGAATGCGCATTTCTCAGTGATGAGGAGTATCTCATATCAACCAATTATACTCTTCGAATGTTTAATATCAAGTCTGGTCAACTGCTGAGTGTGATTGCAATGGAAAGTATTGTATGGAGTGTAACAACTTCTCCTCCCAGACGTCTCGTCGCTGTTGGTCTTGAAGGTTCCAGCCGAGGATTCAAAATTATGCGGGTGAAACCAGGAGATGGACTAAGAAAGCAATTTAAATGAAAGGTGAGTTTCAATAAAGATCAAGTATGTGATTTTTAGGATGGAAAACGTTGTTACTCCTCAGGGTTCCGACTGGAAAAGTACATATGTATATTTTCACGTGAGTTCACGGACAATAGCTTTTTTGGGGGCGTTTTACGGCCTACGGTTAATCCCAGTGAGACCTCTTGGTGAGGAAATTATGTTGCAGGCGCATTCTAAACTTGCTGAGCAAAATATTCACTACTACAATTTTTTCAATACCTTTTTCATCAGGATTGCGCCTGATAAAGGATGTGTTGTAACACTTTATTGTCTCTTCTTTATGTTGTTTTAAAAAGTTGCAGAGACGGATTTGCAAGGTAGTCAAACAACGTACTCTCTTAGCAAGCAACAGAAAGTGGCCTGTGTACTCTTTACAAAATTTCTGATATTTTTGTGACGTTTTTCTTCCGTTTCGCTGACTTTTGACACCATTTTTTTTGTCGCTAGCATAAACCTCCAGGAAGGATTCAGTCACCGGAAAACCCAGAAGATCGCATTTCTTTCAGATACTCCGATGCCCTCTGTTAGTCACCAACTTCGTCCCGGGATAGGCCTAAGACTCACACATGGACAACGAATGTTTTGATTTTTTAGATGAACTGAATAAGAATAGATTGGCAGAGAAATGAGATTAAAATGAAGAATTTTACTTTTGCCGCCAGGTCTGTTTATATTTCAAAATAATGTAGGACAACTGACGAAATTCACATTAGCTTTGACGAGGGGAACGTCACGTGATATAAGGTTATATAAACAGAACCATGGCACAAGGTGTGCTCAAGGGATGTTGGTATTGTTTGTTGGTCTTTTATTCCAAACGGTAACGAAATGATCAAATTACTCTTAATTTGTCATTAGTTACCTCTATCTGATATATTCACAGCTATAGTCTTAAAAAGTGTTCTCCGCCGAGTTTCAGAGGGTTTCTTGGCGAACGAATTCGATACCAGGTTATCTCTTCTTCACGCCCCCTGAAGCGAGAGAGGTGAAAGGAGATACACTGGGAACAGGGGTAACGCCATAACTCCCATGAGTGACCAAGACTGAATTTCTCCTTATAATATTAATACAATATGAAGCAGACAATTGACGAGAATAAAGAAAAATGTCAACTAGGGGATTTTATTTGATCCAGTACCAAATTCTCTAGACTATCATCACGAGAACTATATGGCAGACAGTAAGGAGAATTACCAATGAAATCTTGGGAGTTAAGGGGTTAAGCAAAAGCACTGAGGTTCTAATCTGTCCTTACCTCCTCCCCGCTCCCCTCCCATTCCTTTCCCCACCCCCCTTACGGCTAATTTAAAACAACCGCTGGCACTCCCATTTGAGAAGCTTCATTGGAACTCTGGCCGAACGCCTGTGTCTAAGCCGTAGACAACGACTATTAAGAGGTGAATGTAGTTCGAGTGCACTTTCGCTTAAACCAAACGAGTACAGCATCCAAAGCTGACAAGATTGAGAAAATCGGCCGAAAAATTGATTATCAGAGCACCAAGAGGACTGAGAAGTAATGAATTTTACAGAACTTATTTATTTGATTAAGATTATTTGCTCGACCAAAAGAGACATTTATTAGCTCCGTGACTTTACATTTTCAACCAGGGGCTGTTTTGTTCGCAACTGGAAATGAACTTTTGAGTTTGCTGACCCTGCTTGCTCATTTAACAGGACGAGGAGAGAGATGACGCACCTTTGTGATTACCACTATGCTTTAGCGCCCGCGATCAATGAGGGCGTTGATAATACATTCTGATTATGCGCCATATTTGGCGGCCGATTTCGAAAATGGCCGCTACGATTTCCCCTATAAATATATGGATACATGCTGTTTGAAGACCTTTTGCGTCCATTCGCGGAGATATATATCCATTACCATATCTTTACATCCCCAGATAGAGAGGCCATGATATAAGGCAGCAATAAAAGCGAAATAAACTCACCAACTGGGGAAGTGAACGACACATCATCTGCTGCGACTATCATAGAGAGAGAGTTCGCATGTCGTCTTTGTTTTCCATCGGTGAGGACGAGCTGGACCTCGATGATGAGGTGAGACTTATATGTGCGATTTTTTTAATTATCCACGCAAATAAATTTCTGCGTAATATAAGGCATGCGGATACTCTTTAAGCTGTTTCTAGAGAAGATCAGAACTAAGACAAAATTATCATTTCCATAACGTTGCATTACCAAGTCAAAATAAGAAAAAAATTAGCCAAATTATCTCCTGATAGAACTGCAAAATCGTTTGATTCGGGATTGAGACGAATACTAGGCCTGTGAGGGAATAGTTGTCTGGGAAAAGGTTAAGATCCATTTAGTAGGAAGTATAATTATACATGTCCGACAAGTAGATATAATCAACCTTGCTATCTAAAAAGAGCAAGGTACAATGAAGGTTTTGATTGATTGACTGATTGAGGGACTGAGGGATTCAATAATTTTCTGCTTTAGTAGGAATTTAAAGAATAAATGTTCTTCTGCAGTCAGAGAGTACTTGGATATAATGTACAATTTCCTTACATGTTCATTAGGGCCTTTTTTTCCTTTTAATTTTAGGATTGTTTGTTAGCAGTATGCAAGGGAGAGAGCACTGTGGACTCTATTGCAGATAATTCTAAGAAAAATACAAATTCAAACCAAAACCAGCCATTTACAAATACAAAAGCACTCTTGAGGACAAAAGAAGTGGAGAATTTCAATAATTACTACTCACGGAGGCCATTTGAATCTCTCAATAACCGAGACAATTTTGATAGAGTTGTTGAGAAGAACACACATGTAACTTCCATAGAACGATTACGCAAAGGTGCATCTTTTACAGACACAACAGACTGTCAAGGGAATATTGCTGCTGCAGTGGGTAATGGATGTACTGAACCCTTGGCAAAGAGATTTGCAATAGATCAAATATCAGTGTCTAAAACTCTGTCTGAAAATAGAACCAGCTTGTCACATTCAATTAATGCACCAGCAGCCCAGAACATTTGCAGTTCCTCCACATTCCTGCACCATGCCGCATTGAGAGATTCTTGTAATTTTGGACAGCAAAACTTTGGATCTAATTCAGCATTGCTTGAAACTGGTAAAAGAAAGGATCTTTCTCATAATAACTCTTCCAAGTGTAATCTTGCCTCAAGCTTCTCTACCAAGAAAGGAATTCCTGGAGATAACCAGGGTTCTTTGAACAGTCTTGGAAAAGTACCATTTCATGGTGGAAATGTTACAAATTCTGTTACCAGTACTTCTGCTTTACAGCAGAGATGGTCCCCAAGAAGCTCACCTGTAATGAATTATGAAACAAAGGGTTTTCCTAAGCAAGTGAACAGAACAAACTCACCATTGTGCAACCAGTCTGTAGGGAACATGTCCTTCAGCCTCAACAAAGACATGATAGGGAATAAAGCCCCTGAAACTCCTCAGATGCGCAGAACTTTGGAAGTTGCAGGCCTTAGTACACCACGCACTCACCAAACTATTACACCAGCTGTAGGCAAGACAGATGCAAGAACTCCATTTAGTGGCAAAACCCCACAGGCACGAAAATTTCCAGGACCTGCTGGGCTTCTACCAAAACTGGTAACTAAAATCAAGAGATTTAACTCAAATTGGGTTAATGTAATAGCCCATTTCTGAATTTCTGTTAGCCTTATTTTCAAAGCCAGTCCATGTGCATCTTTCATATGATTATAAATTTTCATTCACATGCAAATTACACTCATTTTCTTACAAATGGTTGAGCATTAGGCCTTGTTTTGAAGAAGTGGTTAAAGGTACTTCAGAGATAAGCTAGGCATTTATTTTTACATGTAGATGGATGATAGGTGAAACTAGTAAAATTCTGCTTGAAGGTCTGAGGAGTTGACAGTATTTGAAATTATTTCAATATTTGTTTGTCTTCTGATATCCTTATTGTTGCCTGAAGGTAATGCTTAAAGGTTGTCATGGTGACATGACTGCTCCCAGAGACTTCTCAGGGACCCTTCCCATTTCATCTGTCAGGGATGAGTTAAAAAGAACTCATGTCTACCAGTATTAACATACCAGTACACTGTATTTATATTGTATGTACCAGTAATATTATAGTAACAAAAATGTTTATTTTGTTTACAGAGTCCAGGTCAAAATCTGGATGATTCATCTGTTGTCTCACCACTTCCTTCCATGAGAAAAAAGTCTCCAACTGAAAACAAAGTGCAAGTAAGTTAATATTAGCCTGATATTTACAATGGACCTTTCAAGCTTTATGTGCATGAAGTAAAAGTGTGCCATAAATGTACATTTTAAAGTGGCCATGTGTCATACCAACACTACTAGGGTGTTATTTTGTTCTGTAACATCCAGCATATTATCTTTTTTTAACTTATTCATTTTTTACCTTTAAAGGCTTCTCAGTCAAATACCTTAGAAGATGAAGATTTTAATCATGATCCATGGACTTTCATGCACCAGGAATTTATAAAAAGTAAGTATTACCAGTGTTTAAAAAAAGATATACATTATGTACAAGTACTTGTATTGTAGATAATTAAAAGGTACTCTGTGCCTTTAATTTTGCATTTGTCAACTTTCTGTGGCATTGGGTCAATACCTCTGATGTCCTGCTCATTCCAAACTATAATCATCCTTGATAATTTGGTTTTATCAGAATTAAGTTGATAGTGTAAATTGGCCACTGTAACAAGCTTCTAAAGCTCATGTTTCAAGCATTAGCCCTTTGTCAGAGCAAGTAGAGGAATTGTGGCTTTTGTGTTTTACACATTGTTTTTGCTGGGAACTTGGTAACATGAAAAAACTTAACAGTGAAAGTTGACTTGTATAAGGCTGGACAGGTTGACATGAACCAGTACAGAAAAAGCTGTCTGGCTCTGTACTTGTGTGGATTTGTTTACTTTTTCAAACATTTTCAAACATTTTCCAAAAACATCAACTCTAATTGTGGACTTGAAACATAAGAAAATATGATGCATTTTTTTTTTATCAATTTCTCCATCACAGATGTTCCAATGGCAATGAGATACACCATTATCAAGGTTTATACTGAGGTATGTTTTATCTATTTAGTGTAGTACATTCATATCTACACTAACATTAAACAGGAAACAAAAGAAAGACTAATTGCATAGGCACCAGAGTTGTGTTTAAGTATGTTGACAGGTGTCAAGAATTAACATGTAATCCTGGAAAAACTTACAGTTCATGTCACTGAAAAAGTTCATGTTTAACTTTCTAAATTGGGTGGTAAATGGGTTGAACTAAGGATTATATATTTTGGTCCGATTACTGTTTTTTTTAAGGGAAGAAGAACATTTAAAAGAGTGTGAAAAACCTTTAATCGCTAGATACACAACTTATGTAACTTATTCTAAACTAAGTAACATAAGTAGCTGAATATTTTATACTACTAGTTACATAACATTGGTAATATAAGGTGATCACAATAAATTCTTTACAAGTTAACAACACATAATAGACACTAAGTTCAGGTCCTTTTTACAATCAACACCACACTAATCTTTAAGCTGCTCTATAGTTCTGAAAAGAAACGTTGTCAGTGACAAAGATGGTCCTTGTTACTCAATCAGTTAATCAGAGATGGTCTTGACAAAGATGATGACTTCTGCGTAAGTTGTGAAAATGACCTGAACATTGTTACAAACAATATAACTTCCTGCAACTACGGTACCCTGAATGGTTAACTAATCTCTTTCAGGCAATTCAACAAAGACTTCATCATGGCAAAGTGCCCTGCCTCTGTGCTCTGGTCAAGGCATTTTCATTGACGGAAGCAGATGCTAGTGTTTTGCTTAAAGATCCCACAGGTAGCACGCAGCCATGTTCATGAATTGGATTTTTATGTTCCTCATTGTCTTTAGAACATTTTTAAATCCAGGGTTGATATCATTCCAGGGAGCTATTGTGTGTAAATTATACTTCTATTAACTTTTCAGGTGAGATTCATGGCACTCTACATCGAAAAGTTCTTGAAAATTACCAGACTGAACTGGCGCCTGGTGCAGGCCTAATACTCAAACATGTGAGTATCAAAATAATCACCAGGGTACCTGGTACTTTATTAACACTTTAACTCCCAAGATCGGATCCATAATTCTCCCTACTAGCTTCTACACATTTCCTTGTAATATAGTGAAGAGAATTTGGTGTTAGATCAAGATGAAAACTTCTACCTGATAAGTTTGAGTATTCTCATTACCTGTTTACTGGATAATGTATGGATATTATTGGGAGAAGTTCCATGTTAATCACTTCTGGAGTTAAAGGGTTAACAAATCTGGATACATATCTGGATGATGTTATGATAAATTAGCAATTGTGACTTTGTCAACCCTACCCCCCTCTCCCTTTCCCCCCTTCTCTCCTTCCCCACCCCCTCCCCAGGTGTAAGACAGAGTGCATTCCTTCATGTACCTACTTGCAGCCGACACCTACATTAGGGTAAACAGCTTATGAACCCTTTCACTCCCATTACTGATCAAGACAGAATTTCTCCTTCCAATATCAATACAATATGAAGCAGGCAAGTGATGAGAATAAAGAGTCCACAAGTGCTTTCTTTCAATTTCTTTTCAAAACTCTTTTTTTTCAAAATTTGAGTTGCCAAACTCAGGGAGTGGTTCATCTGCAAATGCAGCTTATCTGCCATTGTTTGCTGTGTTCCTTGTAGCTTTATTAACTATGGTCTAATGTGATGTTTTTATTCCCTGGTGTACAGGTGTCTGTGTTCAGTCCTGCCCCCAGGAAGCATTATCTCAACATAACTCCAGGCAATATTTTACAGATCTACCCACCTGACCCTCAGTTCATCAGTAACAGCCAAGCTCTGGTTAGTACAAACAACAAAGGAGAGATGAAATCTTATAACAGGGTAATTTAGTTTTATCAACTGAGTTCATAACGTAAATTGGCCGCCGTAAAGAGTTTCAAAGCTGACGTTACGAGCGTTAGCCCTTGCCAATAGCTCTGACCAAGGGCTAACGCTCGAAATGTCAGCTTAAAATCTCTTTACGGTGGCCAATTTACGTTATTAACTCAGTTAATAATACTAAAAGTTACCCTGTTACACTCTCCATATTCATTGAAATCTTATAACTTTTATTTAAGTTCACAATGACAGTTCTTCCCAAGCTTCTGCTCAGTTGGAAAGTTATTTGCATGATTATAGTAAAGTGGAAATGTAGTTACTACCTTCATAATGATTCTAACAGCGACAAAAAAAAATTATCCTTTAGGTGTTGAGTGCAGTACACTGTGCATAGATGCAAAGTTTAGATTTACTGTAATTGTAGGGATGTTATTGTACTAATTATTAAAACCTTGTTTAGGCCTCTCAGTGCACGCAGAAAGAGAACAAACAAGATCAACAAAGGTAAATGATTTTTAGGAAACCACAAGCTAAAAAGCTGTAAACGCTGTTATAATCCTTCCACTCAGTTAGGCCCCCCTCTCTGATAAGCATCCTCGTGCGAAATTTTAAGCTCCAGTCGGACCTGCCCTCGGCTACAAAATTGTTGACACGTTGATCTTTCCAACCCCCTTATTTGGTACATTTAAAGTATTTTTGAAACTGATACTTAATGACACAACTACTCAGTTTTTTTTTTCGTTCTTTTTTAGAGCGATTGCGCTTGTTAAATTTTTAGCACCCATTTGAGGGTCTGCAACGTAGACTAGACGCCCTTTATAATTAAAATTTTTTGGCAGGGTTGTCATAGAAGATGAGAATATTAGCGAAAAAGAGGAATGTGGTTCTAGTAAATTGGTGAATACCTCAGAAGAACAGACGACTGTAACTACAGAGCACGAATGGTTTCAGCAAGGTGAATCAATTTTTACATGTTGACAAAACAAAACAAAACAAAAAAAGCAAACATTAAAAGAAGAACAAAGTGTCCCAGGGAGCAAAGTCCCGAGGACCCTGACCAAGAATCTTGTATTAGAATTTCACCAAAGTTCTACGAAATTGCTCTTTGAGAGAATGGCCATGCCCTTTGTTGACTGGAGTGTCGCGATGTCTTAGCTGAATGATCTAAGGGAAGAACTACATTATTAAAGTCTCGTTTTCTGAACTGTCACCGTTGACAGATGTACCACATATGTAAACATGTTTGAAAAATATTTTTGGTCCAAGGGCGAAAAAAAACAAAATTAAAACTTTTGGTCATATTGTTTATGAAGGTTTCAATAGCTCCTTCGTCTGGACCATTTAAAAATAAATTTCTTCTATATGGTCTTTTTGTGGCCTGTTCATTTTACTGGTGCTTTAATTTTGTTTGTTTGTTTGTTTTAGATTGCATGGATGACCTTTTGGAAGGCCTTGACGATGACGAAGACTTTCTTGACGAGGCATTGCTCTTGTAGAAGTAAGACCTGAAGTTGTGCAGCAGAGGTACACAGCTGTATCGTTTTATCTTGTAAGGTGAAATGGTTGAAAATTGTCTCAAAAAGCCGGGGAAAATTTCCAGTGTCGTAACTTATATAACTTGTATAAGAGTTACAAGAGGCTGAGAAATGGGAACAGGATTAACCCTGACTCAGCAAGTGAATGGCGTTAAAGGGTATAGTATGATGTGTAAGAGGTTGTGATAGTTCGTTAGTCAGAAATACCTCTAAGAGCTTACTGTATACCAACTCGATGTAAAGATCACGCCAATATTATGGGCCAGCGGTTTTCTCTGGTCTAATTTTTAAGAAACAATCACGTGTTCTCCTAACGTCTCTTTCTCAACGAGGTGAAAGTTATGCTTTCCCGTTCGGTTATTCCTCAAACATTAGACAACTCCCGAGTTCTAAAACCCTCACTTTTGAAATGAGGCTTGAAGCAAAACCTTTCTTTTGAAAATGATCTCGATCTCTCGAAAATGATCTGTTAACTGTCCGCGAATGAATGCCGAAGACCTTCACCGTAAAAATACTTTAACGTAAGCCATGTCATACGTGAAAAATAAGAATGTTATTGAGTGTAGGTATCCAGAATGATGAATTAGAAATAAAAAAATCCAAAGAGGAAGTATTATTTGGAACAGAGGTTTGAAAACGTTTAAGAGATGAGGACTTAACAGGAAGTAAACCTTGTATTATTTGTTGTACCATAATTTAACCTTTGTGAATAAAGGAATTTAGGAAGAGAAAGGAGGCTGAGTGTTGCTGGTGAGCCTTTGTCTTTCTGAGCCAGGAAGTCTCTTCCAATCCTTGACGGTATTTAAATAGAAATTTATTTTAACCAAAGCAGAAACGATTCTAAATATATTTCTTTAATAACAGTTATTGTAAAAGCATCCTATGTGTCGTTCGAGTTAGCAGTTGATTGAAAGGACATTTCCTTTAATGGTTTTTCACTTTACGAAAATAATGCCATCGCCTCGTGTTATGGAAGAAGGAAACTTGTAAGGCTGTATTAAGATTCGAAGCCAATTTGCGATGTGTATGTTTTTGAAATCGAAAACTTTAGTCGTGCAGAGAGAATGAAACTGGTTGAAACGTTAGAAAGAGGTTTGTTTGGACTTTGACGCTCAGCAGAATAAATAAACAAACTTATACAAAAACCCAAGGTAGTTTAAGACTTTGATATTCAGCATTAATATTCAATAGACGTATTGGTTTCAAGTATTTACTTTAAATTCTTATTGGCTCTTGTTTAATTAAGTTACCCTTGTTGTGATTGTTCGTGATGATTACTTTAGTTTTGCCATATTTTATGACTCTCAGTCGAAAACCGCTGTACTCTTCTGAGCGCAGTTGTTTAAAGAGTGGATAACGCTATCCAATGGAAACGTTCTACGCTATCCACTGAATAGAGATTTATCTACTCGATAGCCCCATGCATCCTTCAAACAACCGGGATCTGGTAGTTTGTTGTCGAATGTAGGTATGATTTTGAAACTTCCTTCTTAGTATGGAAAAGTGGCTTATCATCTTGAGAAAACTAATACACAAATTTCACTATTTTAATAACTAACTCTTTCAACTGCTAAACAGAAGTCGTGGCGGTACCATTTTCCCCTGCCTCTTCATATTTCCTTTTTATAGATTTAGGATTATACAAAGTCTTTAACATTAAGTTACTTCTCCTCCTGTTACGGAGGTAGTCTGATATATCCGGGAATTCTGCCTCGTCCTTGTTCGTATTGAAGTCCAGTAACTTCCTTTTAACTGCGCCCGAGTACTTTCGCGTGCCTTTCTCGTGGAAATTGTCACCTTTCATGTCTTGGTAAATGAAACCTGCTGCGAAGAGTCTGTTCTCGAGGGAAAGAAAAAGTATGGCGACCAGCGCCAGGGAAGCACCAAGAAAGAAAACGCCGCTCAACGAGTAAACGTTCAGTCTTTGGTGATGTTCTTCGCTTCTGTCCTCGCCTGAAGAAACCCATTTCTTGTAGAGTTCGCTCGGCCTGTGAATAGGGACAAAATTAGGCTTTTCGCGCTGTGATTGGCCTACTTGAACACTCGCGCCACGCTTTTGACCAATGAGATTCAAGCCCAAACTAATCACCGCTTGTGATTGGTTTTAAGCGGCTCAATCACATGCGTTCCCGCGTTTTCTGCACGTTGCGTTTGTTTCGTTTGCCTTTCATGGGGTTGTTTTATTTCCTTTGTTCTGGTCGACAATTTTTTTTTACTTTTGTGACGGCTTACAGAGAAATTTTTACACCGAAGGTGTGTTCTTTCGCGACAGGAGTCTCAACCCTTAACCCCTAAGAATGACCAGCATCCAATTTCTCTACACACATTACCACTACTGAATCAAACATTGAGGTTATGAGAAAATAGAAAATGAGCACCCAGTCAAGAAGCTCTTGATTGTTAAACAAATTCTCGTTTTCAATAGCATACGAAATGTATACTAAACAGTAAGGGGAATATGCATACTGATGTTAGGGTGTAAAGAGTAGTAAAGAAAGCCGTTGTGAACATAGCCTACTTATTGGCAAAGGGAACAGAACCTTGGTAAATGTCGATACCTTTCATACGAAGATATTTTTAGTTCATTCCCGGAAAGTGTAAGAAAACCATGCGTCGCAAAATTCATGAAACATTGCGAATAATCCAGTGCATTAAACATGATTTGAAATTTCCGAGGCAGCTAGTTTTCTCAGAATCCCAGTTTGATGTCATTGAAGTCTTCCTGAGATTTTTCGCAATCTAGTCAACATTTAGGATATGGCCTTTTTAATTTCAATACATACTTATTTTGTGATATTCGTTCAAAGTCGATCGACTGCTCGGGCATTTCTTACTACTTACACGTTTTCAGCTTTCATCCTGTTGATGACCAAGTCAAATTTCGGTTTCCATGGAGAATTTTTCTTAAACGCGTAAGAATATCCACTCTCAGCGAAAGGCTTGGCAGCTCCAACAACCTGTAATCGAGGATATGACGGAGATTTCTGTTTTGCCACTTCGTAGTCTAAGGACAAAACCTCACTGATAAAAATGTCCAATTTCCTGAGGAAGAAACATTGCGTCAGTTAATAATTACTGAAGGAGTCGCGAGTGAATGGTGAGCGTGCTGCATTTTGAGTTAAAAGGACTGGGTCTGAGCTCAGGCTGTGTGATTGTGTTGCGTTCTTAAGTGAGGTGCTCTACTCTCGTTATGCGTCTCCACCCGGGTGTGTAGCCGGAAGGGAGGGAAGGGCTACTCATCTGTTCGCCACCACCCTACCCGGGAGAAATAGCAAAGTTACTTCTTTCTCCACGCTGTGTAAATTTCACAGCCTTTTATTGGGATAAGGGGGGGGGGGGTGGGGAGGGGGCATACATTACGTAGCATCGAAAAGAACGGCTACGAAGACGACTTCGGCTACGCGGGTTTTTTCATTGGGCCCATTCGTTCAAAGGCTGGATAAAGCTTTCCAACGGATAAGTCGCTATCGAGTGGATACGAGTAAACAAAATGTTTTCCACTATCCACCGGATAGAGATTTTTCCAGCGGATAGCCGCTGATAGCATTTCCATCCTTCTAAAAGACCGAACCTGGAATACCTCACAAAATAACCAAGCTTTCTTCCACTTGCCTTTGTCGCCTCTTTAGATGCGTTAAACTTAAGCGGTGTCGTTTTAAGCACAAGTGAGACATTTTGACGAGGCTATCATAGAACAGGAAAAACATGTCAAACCTGTTTCGAACTCGTTCCACTCCATCTGTGAAGTTATTAACCAAGTGATTCTTATCACGCATGCGCCTGAACATGGATTGCATGATGGGGTCTTCGTTTAGTTCAAAGTAGGAATCCACGTAGCTGGACTTCACGACCCCGTATGTAATCTTCGAATCTGGATCTGTGATCTGAAGAGAAATCCAAAAGCTACTTCAATTCAGGTTTTAGCGTAAAGGAAATGAATTAGCCATATTCAAAGAGGTCCGGAAAGAGTGAAAGTCATCCTTCAATGTCGTGGTTTTGATGTTAGATGGCGTAACCTGGGATGTTTTACAAGTACTTCCGGGCAATACTTTCACGTCACAATGTTAAATGCGCTCTAAGATAGTTAAGGTTTTTTCAATCGCAGGAAAGAACGGGATTCAAGCCCACGCCTCACAGAGGAAAGGAGACAGATTTTTTTACATGAAAATAGCTGTGAGAAGCGCTGTTCTTTGACGGGCATGTTTGTGCCTCTTTTTCATTTTGGAAAGGCAGTTTGCACGTAAAAAAGCCCCTCACTTTCAAAATGGGGTCAAGTGAAAAACCGTCTCAGTGAAAATAAAGTTTATTTCCACGAGAATGAAATGTTTCTCATGTCGAGGCTTTGCTCAAAACAGTGTCGTAACACAAATTCTTCTAGTTATTAATACCACAATTTTTCGTGTATTCTTTGAAAATTATATGAAAATATCCTAGTTATTTCATTTGATAATTTTTTGTACCTTTTAGATTACCGTAGAAACACCAAAATCTCTTAGAGACACCCTTAACTAGAGCTGAGTTTGCCAGCAACTCTAAAATGGGTCCAGTGACCTCTTTGTCATACTTTTATTGCAGTCGCGTATCTAAGTTCATCTTCCTGCAAAGCTGATAAAAGATCAGTGCATGCGGTTCAGAGCCACCTTAATTAAATGACCCTTGAGATTCAACATGGATAAACATGTCTCATACCCTTTTAAACTAATGTAGGCTGTCCCGGATGCTCACCTTTGGATCACGGATCCCGGTGACTTCGGGTTTGGTGTCATCAGATAACAGATGAGCTGTCAGGTTAGCCGTGTATGACGTCACGCACATCAGTGCAAAAATCGCCAGAAACACTGCCATGGCCCGCGCACTCAAACTACGCGGCCTGGAGTCCACAAACTGGTTATCAAAACAAACTCCCCAGCAGTACCACATGCTCTCACTGAGGTCAAACCCATTGTGGTTTCTAGCTCGAAACGACTTACGATGTCCGTAAGGGCTCAAACGGTCCGTGAACCACAGAAGACCCAGGTAGAAATTCACAACTCCTATCATGCCCATCCACAAATAAATTGTGAAAGGTCGGAAAAACGAAAAGTCGAGATCCTCCACCTTTTGCTCTCCTACGAGCACGAGCAGAGCGAGACCTGCGTGCGTCCAGCGTAAAGAGAAATCGATTACCTCCGAACGTGCTTCGTTGGTCATGAGATCGATGGCGATGTCTGCTTTTCCTTCCAAGACGTCTCGTACAACACCGTTCCACGTGCCCGCTGAGGAATTTTTGGCACCGTAGTTTCCATCGCGAACAAAATATATCAGTGGTTCAAACTGAAGTTCTGTCTTAACGTAGCGAAGCACGTCGATTGCCAGTCCATAACAGCAATATCTGGTAAAATTTTGCGAATTCTCAGTGTACTTTTTGCACTCTAATCCTTGATAGCATCCTTCGCTCTCGTCGAAGTCCGCTTTCATAGTTAACGGAGGATATTCTACGACTGCAGCTAGAAGCCGAGGAATTTCTCCGATTTTTTTATCCGGCGTTTCCTGATCTAATTCATGTAATTGCAATGTTAATCCTTTGCTTGTCCATATTCCTATTTGTACCCAGCCTTCGTCCTGCTTGTAAGGTGTTTGTAGATACAGAATTTCGTAAGAAGGATGAACATTTTTAGTTTTGTGCTCCATCTGGTTTGAGTCGCGTGAGTTAACACTCGCCTCGAGTAATCTAAACACAGATTTCACGACAATTAAGAAGTTAGTGATGACTGCGTCAGGTTCAAAAGAAACTGCTCAAGTTAAAAAGTATTTCAACAATTGAAGTTGTATCAGTGGAAAATTGTTTTAGATTAATGTCAGTATTTGAGCAACTGCGTACCTACCCCTCCCCTAG